GAATACACAGAACTATACAAAATAGATCTTCAAGACTCGGATAACCACGATGGTGTGATCACTCACCTAGAGCCAGATATCTTGGAATGCGAAGTCAAGTGGGCCTTAGGAAGCATCACTACAAACAAAGCTAGTGGAGGTGATGGAATTCCAGTTGAGCTCTTTCAAGTCCTAAAAGTTGGTTGCTCTGAAAGTGCTGCACTCAATATGCCAGCAAATCTGGAAAACTCAGCAGTGGCCAGAGGACTGGAAAAGGTCAGTTTTCATTCCAATCCCAAAGAAGGGCAATGCCAAAGAATGTTCAGACTACCTCACAATTGCACTCATCTCACACACTAGCAAAGTAATACTCAAAATTCTCCAAGTCAGGCTTCAACAGTACATGAGCCATGAACTTCCAGATGTTCAAGCTGGATTTAGAAAAGAAAGAAGAACCAGAGATCAAATTGTCAACATCTGTTGGATGTCATAGAAAAAGCCAGAGAATTCCAGAAAAACATCTGCTTTATTGACTACGCCAGAGCCTTTGACTGTGTAGATCACAACAGACTGTGGAAAATTCTGAAAGAGATGAGAATACCAGACCACCTTCCCTGCCTCCTGAGAAATCTGTATGTAGGTCAAGAAGCAACAGTTAGAACCAGACATAGAACAACCACCACCACCACCACCAACAACAACAACCAGACATTCAGACAAAAACAACAACAACAACAACATGGTTCCAAATTGGGAAAGGAGTACATCAAGGCTGTGTATTGTCACCCTGCTTATTTAACTTCTATGCAGAGTACATCATGGGAAATGCCAGGCTAGATGAATCACAAGCTGGGAATTAAGATTGCTGGGAGAAATATCAATAACCTTAGATATGCAGATGACACCACCCTTATGGCAGAAAGTCAAGAACTAAAGAGCATCTTGATGAAAGTGAAAGAGGAGAGTGAAAAGGCTGACTTAAAACCCAACATTCAAAAAACTAAGATCATGGCATCCAGTCCCATCAATCTATGGCAAGTAGATGAAGAAACTATAGAAACAGTGACAGACTTTATTTTTTTGGGCTCCAAAGTCACTGTAGATGGTGACTGCAGCCATGAAATTAAAAGACACTTGCTCCTTGGAGAAAAGCTGTGACCAACCGAGACAGCATATTAAAAAGCAGAGACATTACTTTGCCAACAAAGGTCTGTCTAGTCAAAGCTACGGTTTTTCCGGTAATCATGTATGAATGTGAGAGTTGGACTGTAAAGAAAGCTGAGCATTGAAGAATTGGTGCTTTTGAACTGTGGTTTTGGAGAAGACTGTTGAGAGTCCCTTGGACTGTAAGGAGGTCCAGCCAGTCCATCCTAAAGGAAATCAGTCCTGAATATTCATTGGAAGGACTGATGCTGAAGCTGAAACTCCAATATTTTGGCCACCTGATGCGAAGAACTGATTCATGAAAAGACCCTGACACTGGGAAAGATTGAGGGCAGGAGGAAAAGAGGACAACAGAGGATGAGATGGTTGGATGGCATCACCGACTCAATGGACATGAGTTTGAGTAAACGCCAGGAGTTGGTGATGGACAGGGAAGCCTAGCGTGCTACAGTCCTTGGGGTCTTAAAGAGTTGGACACAACTGAGTGACTGAATTGAACTGACCAGATATCAGTCAAACTAATTTGTTGAGATTTTTAAAGATTTGTGTATTACTCATTTTTAGGGTAATTCTGGAGAATTCTCAGTTCTGATCATGGAGATACCCACTGTTTATTTCTATACCATTTTCCTTGGTTTTAAGTGGTTCATCTGCAGAAATTAGAAATATTGTCCACTCAACTTGCTTGTATAGTGGACTAGCCTTTCCTCCCATCCCTGTTGCCTTTGAATCAAGCTGTGTTTGAGGCGAGTCTAAATTAGGTATAGTAAGGGGGGCTAATTACAAGAAGTAGTCATGAATGTGTGTGTACATTGACACTTTTTTTTTTAATTTAGTAAATACATCTTGGGCTTTCCTGGTGGCTCAGAGTATAGAATCTGCCTGCAGTGACTCAAGTTCAGTCCCTGGGTTGGGAAGATCCCTTGGAGAAGGAAATGGCAACCCACTCCTATATTCTTTCCTGGAAAACTTCATGGGCAGAGGCTCCTAGTGGACCACAGCCCATGGGGTCGCAAAGAGTTGGACACAACTAAGTGACTGACATACAACAGACATCTTAAAAAAGTTGCTGTGTACAAAGCACTATTCTTAGTGGAGAAGGAGGATTCAGATGTGGTCCTTGTCTTCAAAAGAACTTACTGTCTCATGTGGGAAATGGTCTCACATGCTAATAAAGGGAGCTCATGGAAGCCCTGCTGGGTGGTGTTGGGTGTGGCCTCTATGGATGGAAGTGCCTCTCCCCCTCAGGGTCCTGGTTTGAAACTTTGGAGCTGAGCTGGAGTGACCTCATCAGAGGCTGGGGTGTTAAGCTATTTGGCTCTGCCACCAGAGACGTGCAGTGGAGGGAGCCCGCCTTTGTTCATCACTGTGGACACTTCTAAACACACGCGTAGAAAGACTAATATAGTCAGCCCCATACAGTCAGCCCCTTAGGTTCAATGATTGTCAAGACTTTGCTAAATTTGTTTCATCTATTCCATTTTATTTTTTCGTGCTATTGTGTTTTAAAGCGAATTTGAAACATCTGTCTTCTGAGTCCTGTCTGCTTCAATATGCATCTCCAAAAGCATGGCCATTTTCTTGTCATCACAGTGCCGACACGAGTCTGACAAGTCAGTAGCTCTGTGGTGTTGTTTCACAGAGGATGTGATTCACATGCCTTTTGTAAGATGTCACTGTGTTTTGCCATTTTTGGTGTCTTCAAGATCTTTGACTTGGTCCCGGTGAATCATTACCATGGATCATTTTGCATGGTAGGTTTTTTCTGGAGTTTTTCTCTAATAAAAGAATCTGAGGGGAATTCCTTTGCAGTCCAGTTTTAGGACTCCGAGCTCTCACTGCCTGAGGGCCCAAAAGTTTGATCCCTGGTCGGGGACCTAAGATTTCATATTTCACAAATTGCACGCAGTGGCCAGAAAAGAAAAGAATCTGGTTGTGTTCAAGATGCTGATGCTGCTGAATACTTTACTCTCACTCAGATTATCTACTGAGACCAGTTTAATTACACTTGCAGCGGCAGTGTAGAATACTTTCCAGTTTGAATTTAGATTTCAAATTCAGAGGGAGCCATCTCTGTAACACACATTGTGTGATAGCATGTTAGACTGCTGTCACAGTCTGGTGTGATCATTCAGAGAACATGTAGTCAGAAAGTACGATGGTGTTTGATACTCAGAGCCCAGAAGTAGCTGACCAGGGTTGAGTTCTTATAGTTCTTACCATGCATTTACTCTTCTTACTCTTCCCAACTTCAACTATTTAACCAAAAAAATGGAATTAATTTTCACTCCTGAAGTTACCAGTGGCACAGCCTTCTCCAGTTTGTGTGCACACATAGACGCATATCCCCAGACATTCTGGGAACTAGGAGAAGAGGAGTGGGCAGACTGGGAGTCATGGAAATGCTTTCTTCTTCCTTCAGAGTTGGAGTGGATCCTTTCACTTCCTGGGAGTTTGGACACACATTCTTGTTTATCATCTGAGCCTGTGGATTTGTACTGTAATATGATTACTAATAGTAAATAAATATAATTAAATAAAAATACTCATTTTCACTAAATACTGGTATTGCAGTAAATATTCACTGAGTAAAATAAAACTCTTATTGTCCCAGGTTCCTCTCTGTGTGTTCCTGTCGTGGTTAGTGGCACCATCATCCTCCCACACAAGAAATTCCAGGACTGTTCGCTTGATTCCTTCTGTCAGCTGGTCATCTTTGCAGTGACTGTGGTCACATTTTGAGTTTCCAGCCCTAGTTCCATCTTTATTATCCATCTGACTCATGATAACTTTTCTTGTTCCAGAGTCCCTTCCTACTTCTGTCTCCTGTCTCCTCTCTCTTCTGTCTGCTGCTTTTCCTGATAGTCCATCAGCTCATTACTACAGGTTGCCATTCTCAAAAGAGAAACCTCATCACACCATTCCGTTGTGCATAAGTCTCTAGTAGCTCCTAATTGTGTACAGACTGAGTCAGCCATCCTTGTGTGGCGTTCGAAGTGCAGGGTGCCTCAACTGGGCTAGACCACATGACGGTGCTGCACGTACCCTGTATGTCTGTCCTCTGCCCTGCTCAGCTGGGCATGCTGACAGGGATAGAGGAGACTCTAGCCCCTGTGCTTTCATTTATTATGCAGAATAAATAACAGACGTGTGGAACTAGTTATAAGGAAATTTTGCTTGTTTCTCTTAGTTTTATCAAATCAGTATAAGAGTGTAGGTCAGAAATATTCTTGGATGCAGTTTCTAAGGTATAGTACTCCAAGGATTTAGAATCTCAAGTTTTTTGTTTTTGGGTTTTTTTTCCTTGGTGCTTTTTTGGTATTGTTTTGTTGTTGTTTGTTGTTTTGGCTGGTCCATGTGGCTTTTAAGTTTTATCAGTGCTGCTAATCACCTTTTTCCAACATCCATTCCCGCCCCCCCCCCCCACCCCCCCGCCCCAAATCTTCAAATTCGGTGTTTACCTTTGTTATTACTGTGCTTGTGGCAGGGAGGAGGAGGAAGATGTGAAAATAAAGGAAGTAGATTTCAGTCTGGGGCAGGGAGAGAAACACCCTGATAGAAGAGGTTATCAAGACACCAGCTGTTGGTGGTTTGTTAAGGAGGAACTACCACACACAAAGAGTGAGAACTTTACATTTCGAAATTAGGTTCTTTGTTGCATTAACATCTTAAACAATTTTTGTCAAAATGTAGAACTAACAAAGGATGAGAATCTTTTCACTTGCCTTAGTAACTGTAATTTGTTGTTTTAATGAAGCATTTTGAGTTTTACCTGTTTCTATCAGTAAAAAAAAAAAATACATAAATTAACAGAAAGTTATCATTCAAATGTTAATTTCATATGTCTTTATTTTTAGACAAAAGAAGTTAGAAAAAGTGATGGAAGAAGAAGGCCTCAAGGATGAAGAGGTAATTAATATTGGAAAAATTTTCCTTGAAACCAAGCCTGACAGATCACGTCTTGTGTAGCAAGTTGTTAGCATTGGTGCATGGAGGAAGGGTTTTGACTTGTAACAGGAAATTATGAGGGCGGGTGTGCTTCTGGATTTAGGTACTCATGCAGAGGGAGAAGTTGATTATTAAATACCAGGAAAGGATGGCTTCTAGGCTCTGTAGTAGTAAATTTATTAGCTTTAGAATTCCAAGAAAAGGAAGACATAAAATAAAATTTTAAAAAGCAAATTAGCATTTTTAATTCACTGAAAACGCTCCATAGAAGTGGAGCAAATTTCTGAAATTTTTGTCAAGGTGAAATACCTCTCGAATCAGCCTTTTCCCCCCAATGCCCACAGATGTGGCAGAAAATATAATTAATAAGAAACTACAGAAAGAACTGAAATGGCTGTGGAGGTGTTCTCAAAAGGAGGAATGAATCATAGAACCCAGGAAAATGGTGAAAAATACCCAAGACTTGTAGGAACAATAGGAAGTTAATGCATAGAATGAACCATAATGTGTAAAAAATCCAGAGAGAAATTTAAAAGCCATATTTGTATATAAGAAAAAAATAAAAATAAAAAAATAAAAACCATACTTGTATATAAGAAAAGTTAAAGGGAAATGTTGATTGTTTATCCTTCCACTTTAGGAACATTAGAGTAGCGGGCTGTGAAGCAGGTTCATTCTCATCCTCTGTTCAGGGTGGTTATTGTGTCTGAGAACGGGGAGGCAGGGCTGACCTCCTTAGGGTCCTTCTGCGGTGCTTTCCTGTGTGAACAGATGGTGTTTAGTCTGGCGGGGCCCTGCTTTCTGGGTGGGCTAAACCACAAATAAGACTTGTTGCAGAGTCCCTTCCCACCTCTCTCCCTCTCTGTTTAAACATTAGAAACGACTCCGTAGATCAGCGCATGCTCGGAAGGAAACAGAATTTCTTCGCTTGAAGAGAACAAGACTTGGACTGGAAGATTTTGAGTCCTTAAAAGTAATAGGCAGAGGAGCCTTTGGTGAGGTAAAAACACCACAGCTACTTATCAAATACAGGAATGCCACAGCACATCGAAGCTTCTAACGTAACATGAGCTTGTGCTGGCTGATAGAACTGTAGCAGGGTGTGGGTGGGCCCTTCTTTGAGCCCCACGTCTTACCTGCTCTCTGTCTTCTTTTTCTTGCCCTCTCACTGTCCCAGGGATCTGGTTGTTCTTCTCTGTTTCGCTAGAGATGATGTTGATGCTTTAAATATTCATCTAGAGGGAGAGTTGATAGGTAGAAATAAATCAATATTTATTACTTAGTGAGTGCTTCTTTCCTAGAATCATGACTAATATTTTATACATGATGTGGTTAAACCTGAGGGGATAGATAATGTTCCAGTGTCACACATCCATTGGGCAATGGTATCAAAGCAGGGCCTAGGTCTTCCTGATCTCAAAGCTGTTGCTTTTCCCATTACACTGCCTTTCCAAGAGCAAACTTCCAGCATATTTCCACCCTTTATTTCTTCCTGCCAGATTGGTACAGCTCTGAAAAGAGGCCCTGGGAAACAATTTCTAGAAATAAGTTAATGTGAGTGGTGGTAGAGAATGAAAGTATTTGCAGCTTTGTCCCAGCTGGTTGTTCAGATGCGTCCTGCTTGATCACAAGAGCAGTCTGCTGGGAAGGGTTTGAATGAGCCTGTGCAAGATCCTCCCCATTTGTGGAAAACACCCGAAGTGGACGACCTACTGATGCAATAGTTTCACTATCATTGTAAATACAAAAGGAGCAGCACATTATAAAAAACCAGCACCTAGGGGAAATGTGAGTACATATTCAAAGGCATAGGTGAAAGATTAAATTGATCCCTCAGTGTTCAGAATCCCTGTTGGCCTCTTGAGACAGGAAAAGGTACAGGACCACGTCTAAAAGAGCTTTATGTTCATTGAGGGGGGGACGTGGGACTCGAGGAAAATAAGAATGTTTCAGGGAGAAGAAAGCATACTTGTCTTGGGGGAGGAGGAGGGGATGTGCAGGGACTTGCCGAGTAGTTGTGTTTGGTTTGCAGACCATTTCTTTTCATCACAAATTATCTGTTCTCTCTCTCGAAAAAAAAAAGGAAAGTAAAAAAGAGAAAGGAGAGCTGCAGAAAACTCTGTTTCCCTAAGTATACATTTTAATTCCTCACCCACTTCCAGGCATTTTTTTCCTGTGCCTTAGCTTTTGCTGTTGTTTTAGACATTGTTGTAAACATTTCCTTAGATTTTTTTTGAGCTGACTGGGTGACATATGTCATGGGTTTAATGAGTCCAAAGTGAGGGTTTTGAATTAGCTTGATCTGTTCAACTCGGGAGCCAGAGCTGTTCAGAGGTGGAGATATCTGAGAATGTTTCGGCACTGACCTCACTGTGTATAATATATCCATTTTGAAACACTGAAAAGCATTTTCTTCTGCTTTGTTATTGTTTATATAAAAATTGCAGTACTTTTTCAGTTTAAATATGATTTCCTGTTACACATGAAACCATTAATTTGGCATCATGAACTCTTGGCATTTCTCTTACAATATTTAGGTGCGGCTTGTTCAGAAGAAAGATACGGGCCATGTGTATGCAATGAAAATACTTCGTAAAGCAGATATGCTTGAAAAAGAGCAGGTAAAGCACAATTGTAGCAGTGATTTTAGTCATCTTATGAATTTTTGTCTTCTAAAACTGTTCTTTTTGCCTAATTGAAGTGTATATTCCTCTTTTAGTTTTCTTTAGCACTGTCATATAATATTACTTTGCTTTCTCGCACCCCCCCCCCCACCCTCCCCCGTAGAAGCAGTTATATATATTTTAGGTACAAATAATACCTAAGACATTATGTGCAGTCTTTTTTAAAGTTGAAAATCTACTAGAGAAACGTCTGATATTTGTGTTTCGCAGTTGATCACAAGCTGTCCTTGTCATTAGGAGCTGTTTTTTGAGGTTGTACTTACTGTAGTAGCATGTTCCTTACAGAATGTTGTGGAAAGTTGTGTATTATACCCTGGAACTGAGATTTAGGAATTAGAATTTGGAGTTTGATCTAAAATAGGTCTTAATACGCTTCATTCTGTAAATTCACGCAGACCCAGTTTGGATCTTCTGAGTGGCTTGTCATTATGTGAGAGAGGCCAGTCTTGTTTGGGAATGAATTTGAAAAAATAAAATGAAGGTGGCACAGCATTGCAGACTCTTCATTTAATGATTAAGAATATTTTCTCAAACTTCAAATCTACTTTGCAAATAGATTTATAAGCTGCATTCAGTACTTTATGCAGAATAAGTAAGATTTTAAATATTAGACAGTATATATTAAAAGTGAGAATGCAGATTTTCTATAAATATGGTTTAATTTAGCAGAACAGATTGTAGTGGGCGATGCCTGCTATAAAATACCAGTTATTACAGGAGGGCAGAGAGATGCCCCCTGGAAAGGAGAGCTCCAGCTACAAAACCTCAGAGCCAGGATGGAGGCTGGCCACATACCCAGTCCTTCCAGCCGCTTGAGAGGAGCTATAATCACTGAGGCTTTTCTGCCCTTCATTTAAGTGTTAGCTCAAAATTTGGGATTTTAATTTTCTCTTTAAAGCTTTAGACTCCCAGGAATTTTGGTCAGAAGTAGCAAATACCCTGGCAGTAGATCTTCAGACATTATATGTTAACACCAACCTTACTCAAAATGCACACCAGTACTATTAATGTATCTAAAAATCAGTGCGATATGGGTATTGACACTGAAGGAGCTTCAGTTAATCTTGGAAAGGAGAATGTGAAGCTGTATTGATTAGTCCGTATAGTTTGCATGTCACAAGTAAATTTTATTTTTACAAGATATATTTCCTGTAGTTTTAACCAAGACTCACAGTATTTCTTTATCAAATGAATAGTAGAGTAAAATTGTAAAAAGAAGTACATGTCATAACTTCCACTTATAAATCCTTCATAGAGGTAACAGGTGGTAACAGAGGATGATCCAAACATACTGTTTAAAGACATTCTCTCAAGTACTGTACCTTCTTCAAAATCAGTTTCTAAAGACTTCCTACGTAAAGATAAAGGAAGTGTCTGTTCGAATTAGGATTTTAAATGAATTAACTTAAATCGTTAGCTCCTCTTGCTGATGGACTCAGCTCCCTAGGTTTGATCTCAGCATGGTCCAGTTCAAGTTTCCGGCCACAGACTTGACCTGGGGCAGCTGTCCTGAGGAAGCCGGCAGCAGCTTTGTGGGGCAAATCCATCACTTCTGAGTGGGCTGACAAAGTACAGATTCAGAGTCTCACTTCTTGTAGGTATAGGTGCCCTCTCCAGAGGAGAACTTCTTATTTGCTTTTACGAAACTGAGCAGGAATTACGGCTACCCATTTAGAGTTCCGGTTGTTATTCCTCACAAGATGGAAGTTTCTGCTACCTGGAAAATGAATTTTAGAGGATAAGAGACTAATGTTCAGCTAGTCTCTTCCCATTTCTCTTCCTGTGCAAAAGGACAGCCTTTGGTTGTGATGCCCTTGTAGGGTTAGGATGGGCCCAAAGACCGACTGTTCCCTCTGCTCTCCTAGCACCCTGGCTCACAGCTGGCACATAATCCCCACCCCACTCAGTGTTTAAGGAGCAGGGGAAGGGAATCCAGAGCCCACCCCTCCTGTAAAATCGCCTGACTCCTAGACCTTGAGTTCTTGACTTGCTGTCTCAGCCCTGGGAGAGAAGGGCAGGGTGTGGTCCCCGTGCCTACAGCTTGCCCTGTGACAAACCAGGAATGTTGCAGTCACAGTCCTGCCCTCTAAGGTGAGTGACAGGTGACGGTGGTCATGCCTGTCCTTTACCGTGCGTCCCTGCAGTAGGCAGAGGCCTTCACAGGAGCCAAGGGAAACAGGCAGGTGAAGTCAGCTCCGTGCAGTCTTTGTGTAGTAACTGACTGGGTCAGAGCCAGCAAGTGGCATGAGCATTTCCACACATCTTTACTGGGCTTCATTCTAATTTTATAGTACCATTCCTTATCACCGTTACCTTCTTCCATTTTTCCCACCCTCATGCCATAAGTAGAGATGTAAAAATGTAAAATTTCTAAAACACTGAAGTTACTTAAAAATTTCCTTGAAAACAGTTTTCGTAGAAACTGAAAACTCAATAGGAGTTTTAGGCCCATAGGAGTGAGCATGGAAGGATGAGGCAGGTTAGGTGTAAGACAGGAGAGAAGGCTTTGGGGTCTGTGTCCGAATGGAATAGAGAGCGCCTGGCTTTGCTGAAGACATTCCATTAAGACAAGCACGCAGAACATCCTATCAAACAAAACAACAACCAGGGGCTGAGTTTGCCAGTAGAAGTGCCAGTTTGTGAACTTGGTATATCTTCACCTCCAAACATTGTAGGAGGTCCCGGGCTGGAGTGCATGTTAAGATAAAAACCTCTACTCAAGGATCAGCCTGAGTCTTAATAAATTTAGATCTGATTCAACCCAGTCTTGCAACTTAACAGCACTTATACAAGAAGAAAAGGGGTGGGACTTGGTGATACGCAACAGTGTTTTGATTATTATTGTATATTTAAAGTAGATGAAGTCAACTTGATAATAATAAATTAATAAAGAAATCCTCCCAAAACTTTGGCAACTTGGTCTCCCTAGCTAAATATTTCAGTAAAAATAGAAAACTGGCAGTGTCATAAATGAGTCGACAACTCTTCTTAGCTGTTCTCATGTTTCAGTTCAGTAAGAACTGAGCACCTCCTGTGTGCACAGCCGTGGCCGAGTACTGTGGCATCACAGTATCTGGGATTGTCAAGCAGGCACCGTCTTGGCAGATGTCACTGAAGACCTGAGGCAGGATTTGCTTAGAGAGTCTCATCTTGGGGACTTACTTTTATTAAAAAAGGATTATTAGATCAAAAAGATATGCAAAAGAATGGTAATTTTAACTAATCAGAGGTTCACTTTATAGTACTGTTAAAGTTTCCATTTGCATTAAAACCATTGAATTTTGCCACTTTCAAGTCTTTCATCACTCAAGTTTTTATTACCGAATACCTTCAAGTCAAATGTTGTCAAATTTTGAGTTCGTAGGTTTGCCTAAGCATAAGCTGTATCTTTTGCATCATCACAATTTAATACTCAACAGTATTTAAATTGTTTAAGCAAATATGCAGTCTGATAAAGCAGAGCAAGGCTTGTCATTAATCCAATGCGTGTACCTCCAGGTTGGCCACATTCGTGCGGAGCGCGACATTCTAGTGGAGGCAGACAGTTTGTGGGTTGTGAAAATGTTCTATAGTTTTCAGGATAAGCTAAACCTCTACCTAATCATGGAGTTCCTGCCTGGAGGTAATTACTTGACGATGAAAGGTCATTTTTCCTTTTTGTTTTGTGGTTTCTCTCTTACATGGATTAACCCTCCTTTCTACTTTTAACCGTGCTCACAAAGTTGCTTTCTGTATCTTTTTAGGTCTGTAAAGGAGGTCAGTAATCTGTCTGTGCTGGGTGCCTTTTTACAGCTTTAGGGCCATAAAAATAACCTTCTCATTCATTCTCATGATTTCAGATGGATATTTCTTTTCTTTTTAAATATATAGAAATATACTAGGAGCATTGCCTGTCTTTCTGTCCCTGGGAATAAGTCTGTTTACCTAAGTGACAAGATTGATTGAAGCTATTACATTCCTTGCTTCAACTTTCTTCCCCCCCTGTAAATTATAAAGAGTGAATTTCTCATTACATATATTAGTAGTCACAATCTGTTTCTTATTTCTGAAATTTCATGTTTTTGGTAACTCGGCATGTACATCTTGTAAGACCGCTCCAAAGTAAACCCAGAATAGAACATGCGTCTGTTCTGGGGAACACAGTCTGTTTCCCAGTGAGCAGATAAACTGTGAGCACACTGGTAGGGAAAAAAAGAAAGCTTTCTCTTTATATGCTTTTATATCAAAGCTAATATAATTGAGGCATAATATTTGATCTGGTGACAACTTTTAGTTATATCTAGGGTCATCAGTACTTTTTATTAACAGTTGATGAAGATTAGAAAAGAATCTATATGACAGAATGAGGAGAAACTTTTTAACATTTAGGTGTCAGTTAAATAGGAGTGAGAACCAGCCAGCCCCCTGACGTGCGTCTCCACAAGCTTTACCTGCACTGTCTTCCCTAGCTTCCCGTGTCCCCTGGACCCTGCCCTTTGTACTCGGTGGGGCTGGCCTGCACAGCCCAGACCCTCTGGCCTGAGCGCTCTGATCATCTGGGCGCGCTTGCACAGGTGAGGCCTCTGGCTGCTCTCCTGGGCCACTGTGTTACGGCCACACAGGTACCTCAGAGCCGGCCCCACTTCTGCCTCCAGATTGAATCTTTGGCGGCCAGGAGTGATTAGGAAATCATGTTTTTCAAGTTTTGGGGCAAAAAAGGGAGCATCTTAATAAGTGGCTTAATTTTTGCCCAAGGGTAAAATACCCACTTTTCTCCTTCCCTCAAAGTTAGAAATAAGCAGCATGACACACTATTAAAATCCGAGGTTTCTGTCTCTTTTCCGTTTTCTAACATAGATTGCTTTCTATGCGATGTGAACTGAATCTTTCCTGTTTCTTTTACCTTTAAACTGTTTATTCATATTTGCTTTGCTTTCATCTGACTGTTGAATTGGATCAGAATCTTTTTTTTTCACCATTGTATGTTGATGGTATTAAGCAGAAATACTTAAATTTTGACTTTGCAGAAAACTAAGGAAGTTACTGCTTAACTGCTAAAATACTGACATTGTGTTGTAAAAGTTTGGTATATATTTAAGTACCCACAATAAGCACTGGAGAAAAAACCCCACTGATCTTGGGAGGTGTTCACTATGCACGTTTGGGAGGCAGTTATTACACATCCTAGTCTGTAGCATTTTCTTTTCATATTTACAACAGCTTTTGTTGACTAACACTTTGCTTCCTAAATCCTACCTTTTTATATATGTTCTAGTGTTCTGTGAATAGACATTGGAAAGCTTGTTTTCAGCCTCCCCAGATGTTTATGTTTTTGTTTGGGCTTCCCTGATAGCTCAGTTGGTAAAGAATCTGCCTGCATTACAGGAGACCTCTGTTATATTCCGGGGTCGGGAAGATCTGCTGGAGAAGGGATAGGCTACCCACTCCAATATTTTTGGGCTTCCCTTGTGGCTCAGCTGGTAAAGAATCCACGTGCAATGCAGGAGACCTGGGTTCAATCCCTGGGCTGGGAAGATCCCCTGGAGAAGGGAAAGGCTACTCACTCCAGTATTCTGGCCTAGGGAATTCCATGGATTGTATAGTCCATGGGATCGCAAAGAGTTGGACACGACTGAGTGACTTTCACTTCACTCAGCCTCTCTAATAATGGCAGTACAGCCATTGTTAGAATGTGGAAACGCCTTAGAGAAGTTTGCAGGTATTTGTGCCAAGTGAAAAGTAAAGTAGCTCTTTCCCCAGTCCAAAAAATTGTCTTAAGCAAATTTATTGATTGATTGGTTTATTATTTTAGTGTGAGAGACATTTCCTTTCTCCAAAGTTAAGTGGAAATCACCGCTCAGGGGTCAGCATCAGTTAGCTTAGTGAAAGTGTTTTGCCATCCGTGGCTGTGAATTTTATCTTTTAAATATTAGAAACTGCTTACCATTTCTGCTCATGTCAGGCATTTCCGCCCATAGTAGGTCATCTCTGGGATATAGCAGAGACCTATTTAGCACCGCCTTATGGTGGCAGGTAGGGAGGACATATCTGAAAACTGGCTGTTACTCATATTGTTTTGTGTGTTTGTGTGTGTGCGTGTATGTACTTTGTATCTTTTTGTTTCCAGGGGACATGATGACCCTGTTGATGAAAAAAGACACGCTGACAGAAGAGGAGACTCAGTTTTATATAGCAGAAACAGTGTTAGCCATAGACTCTATTCACCAACTTGGATTCATCCACAGAGACATCAAACCAGACAACCTTCTCCTGGACAGCAAGGTACTGTGAGGAGTGCAGGCTGACCAGTGTGTCCTTACCTGCCTGAGCAGCCTCTGCCTAACACCCGCATGACCTGTAATCACAGTCGGGGAGCTGTGAGCTCCCTAGGGTATTTTCTTCTTTTTTTTTAAAGGTAAGAAAGGCTTATGAATTCCATAATTTGATTAAATTTTCCTCTTAAAGAACATTTTGAAAAATTATTAAGCATAAAATTGATTTAAGTTATTTTGTAATGAAGCCAAACATAGTCATCTTAGATGATTAACTACACTAACGCATCCCCTGTCAAGAACCCCTCTGTTGAGGATCCCAGCTCAGAACTAGGAAGTATGGTGACAGCAGCAGTAATCTGTACAAAGCTCAGCTTCCAAACCCTGTGCCCTGTGCTTAAAGCAGAGCCCTGCTCAGCCTCGCTGATGGCCTCTTTGTAGTTATCTTTACATATGCTCATGAACTGAGTTGCCTGATTCTTAAACTCTTGACAAATCAGAGGCGAATCCCTGTGCTGCTATGTTGTTGATGCTGCTTGACAAGTTCCTCCACCGTCTGGACCTCACTCATCTGTGAAGTGAATATATTGATTGGGAGACGCTCCAAAGTCCCTTCCAGCTTTAAAATTCTAGATTGTTGTGTTCTGGTACATAGAATTGTTGTCTAGATTGAATTCTTCTTTTAAGTAGGAAAGTAAATTTAATTCATAGGGTATTTTCCTTTCTTACTGTCTTTTGATAACAGTCTTTGGAAAAAATCTGAAGTTTTAGTCTACTTTCTTTGAAAACCTTAATCTTTCTGTTTTGAGAGAGTAGGAGATTTGTCCAGTAATTTTTTCTGGTTAATAGTTTTTTTCTTCATTATAAGAATAACATACATACATAGTGGAAAATTTGAATACAGAGAGCTATAAAGAAGAAAAATGTAATGTCATTGTTCAAATTATTATTATTATTTTTTATTTAAATAAATAAAGTAGTTTTGGCTGTGCTGGTGTTCGTTCCTGTGCTCGGGCTTTCTCTAGTTGCGGCAAGTGGAGTCTGTTCCCCACTTGGGATGTGTGGGCTCCTCATTGTGGAGGCTTCTCTTCTTGCGGAGCACAGGCTCTCTGCAGGCGGACTTCAGCAGTTGCAGCACGCAGGCCTGGTAGTTGTAGCACACAGGCTTAGCTGCCCCGTGACATGTGGAATCTTCCCCGACCAGGGATTGAACTCGTGTCCCCTACATTGGTAGGCAGACTCTTAACCACTGGACCACCAGGGGAGTCCCAGTAACAGCTGTTTTAGTATAATAGCTTCAGTAGCTTTCTCTTTGTGTCAATTTATATACAGTTAGCATCCTCAAAGTAAAATAGCTTGGTATTCTGCTTTTAAAATGGTAACGTGTATGAGATTATTTTTCTGTCCTTAAGTTCATGTATATTTTAATAAAGTAGTAGCTCTACTTTGTGTTGTCCTGGGTTCAGATGCCTTGGTCCTGTACCCAGTGCCTTACTGCTGGCCTCATTGTAGGCTAAGTCTGTGTTCAAGGCCAGCAAACATACTGAAGGCCAAGAGCTGGGGACTCAGCTGAGGACCGGGGACACCTGTTTGGTGTAGACATGCTCTCTACAATATGCCAGCCCAGACTTGTAGAGGAGGGCTCATTTATGTGTTTAGCCATATTGGTTGTAAAAGTGAAAATGTAGACATTTTGAGTTCTTGCTGTATAAATGAGAAGAGCTACAGAATTCTCTGAAAATCTAGGTTTGAACAGCATTTGCTCCAGGCACTGTTTTTTAAGACTGTTCTGGAGTTGTCTAGGTAAAACATGTAGTTAAAGCTGTGAAACACTTCCCTGGCTTGTGGAACAGGTTATTTGCAAATCTAAAAGGGAAATAGCAGGTTAGTAGGCTCAAAGCCATCTTTGGTAGTTTACCTTTTATGCTTAAGCCTGCGTGTGTGTATACACACACACACAGAGCCAAACCTAATGAGATTAAAAAGAAACAACAGCACAGAAAGCTGCTCTTAAGCACAGCTTCTGTAGCCTTATACCCTGGGATGTTTATATGTTAGGGACCAAAGACCACAGATGGGGAAGTCACTAGGGCTCAGTCCTTGGCCACATCACTTCTGACTGTGTGACCTTGAGCACTATAGAGTTGCTCCCAGCAGCAAGAGTTGCTCCCCTAGTTTTGGTTTTACCTCCTTATCTACCTAAAATTTTGGTAGGTGAACATTTGGTCCTGACTATGGCCATTTGGTTCATGACAAAAGTTCCTTGAAATTTGGTCCAATCCAAAACATGCATTTTAGACAGAACTAAATACCAAGGACCTTTTGGTGTGGATCAAATGTCCTGCAGTGGAAAATCTCACCACCCCTCGAACACCCTCTTCTACCTTAGAGAATCAGGGAAGGAGCCTTACAAGCCTTAATTCTCACCATTTGTGCCAGGAAGATACCATGATTCGCATTTTCCAGATAAGATCAGGGGTTGGAGAGAAAGAGCTTTGACTTCTGGCTTTGGTGCTGCCATTTCACCAGCAAGTCGTTTAATGACTCTGAGTCTATGAAAGGTGGCTTAAGAATTATAAATGAGACAACACATTTAAAGGCATGGTGCCTGGCTCATAGGAGGTATGAGTTTTCTTTGAAGAGAATGGTGAAGTCAGAGACTTATGATTGGAATACAGTATGGCAACACTTATCAAGAACTGTACAATGAAGTTGATTCTCTGTCTTTGGAATAGTTTACTCCTTGGAATTTATCCCAGTGAAATAATTCAAGTGGAGAAAAAGCTATGTGAATAAAGACTTGCTCAAACAGCCTTTTGTAAAGACCATTCTCTGTATCATGCCTGACTAAGGCTGGGAACACGGGCCCTCTCTGGCACAGGGATGCTTATTGTAATCCACATGACTTGAGATTGGATTAAGTAGCATTGCGGGGATAGGTAGACAATGATGTACCGAGTCATTTGAATATTATATAGACGTTAAAAAAATCTTTGAAGAAACACAGAATATTGATTGAGGTAGTTTAAGAGGTAAAATTAGATGCTGTGGATACACCCAAAACATATAATATTTGTATAATAGGATTTGGAGTGATCTTTAATTCGTTTGCTGGTATATATTTCTCCCCATAATAAAAGCAGCAGCAGCATCCTTTGGTTGTGGAGCCGTAATGGGTAATGCACAAAGCTGGAGATGATAGTGTTCTCTTCCACATCGTGAATGCTCATCTGTTCTTACCCTTGTCTCCTCTCCATAGGGCCACGTGAAGCTTTCTGACTTTGGCCTTTGCACAGGACTGAAAAAAGCACATAGGACAGAATTTTATAGGAATCTGAACCACAGCCTCCCCAGTGATTTCAGTAAGTGTTAACAGTGATGGTAGCCTTTTTATCCCTGGAAGAGCTGTTCCCCCTGGTAACCAGAATATGCAGCATGGAGTAGGAGATTCTCACAGTTCAAGTCTTTCGAGAATAAAAATACCTTCCCAGGTTTGCCTGTGATTTGTACTATGTGGTGAGAGAAGATGAAGGCCACCAAATGTGTTACGGCAGATGTCCCAACAAGCATTCTTTGGAGCTCTCCTGAGAAAGTTACAAGGGATGAACAAGGAGCAGGCAAACAAAAGTAGTAGAGGAAAAAATCCTGGGAACAACTCCAGGTTAGATTTACCATTGGTGCTGTCATGGCAGAAAGAAGCTTGCGAGTTACTTTCACTCTGTCAGACTGTTGAAAAGTGAAAGTGAGAGGGTTAGTCGCTCAGTCGTGTCCAACTCTCTGTGACCCCATGGACTGTAGCCTACCAGGCTCCTCTGTTCATGGATTTCTCCAGACAAGAATACTGGAGTAGGTTGCCATTCCTTTCTTCAGGGGATCTTCCCAATCCAGGGATTGAACCCAGGTCTCCTGCATTGCAGGTAGATTCTTTACTATCTGAGCCACCAGGGAAGCCCCAAACCATTGAAACTATGTAGTAAAATTACATTTCATCCTTGGGAAGCTATGTCTATAATATATAATATATACTATACGGAAGTCTCTGATTATGTAGAGTTACTACTCTTGGGGGGAATTTGATAGTAATTTGAAAAGTTGTGCGTGTTTTAGGTCCACTTTGGGACCTTCGCCTCTCTCTGATGAGATTGGATTCCCTGTAATTCTGATTCAATTCCCTGTAATTCTGTTTAAGGCCTGTCCTCCTCTCTGGTCATATTATCTCCAGGGAAGTGCGGCTTACAACTCTCTGTGTGATACTTTGAATTAATGCTTTAGCGCCTCTGACTGGGGCTTACGGATTTGGTGGAAAATGTATCTTGTAGAGTTCTTGGTGTGTGGGGAGAAAAGCGAGACTTGAGGGTCTCCTGTGGCTTGAACCAGAGCCTAAAAAAGTAGTAAACATTCCTGAGCTTTGCTTATTTAGAACTTCTTTTCTCTACTTTTAGCTTTTCAGAACATGAATTCCAAAAGGAAAGCAGAAACCTGGAAAAGAAATAGACGTCAGCTAGTAAGTAATATCTGTGGCTTCTTAAATGCTACAAACCAGCTATGAATCAGTTTAGAAATATGCACATAAATTTGCATTTGATAAATGTTTGCAGCTTACCTATTCCTTGTTTTAAATTACCTTAAGAGAAGCCTGTCATATTGGTAGCACCAAAAGTGGTATTTTGAAGGATCGCAGGTATAAAATGAGGTTGTTTTGGTTGTGACATTTTCAGTGGATGACCTCATTCTGACCTTTTACATTGGTGACAACTGCTTTCCTTCCTCTTCTATGTTTTCCCTCTATTTATGGTGGTAAAGGGTTATATTTGAGGTGGAGTTCTCTCAAACTGAAACTAAGTACAGATATCTACCCAGAACTTCAAGGCTGTGGTTCTCAAACTTGTGATTGACTTAGTCAGTTCACCTGCCCCACCCTTTCCTGTGTTATGGCAGAAAAAAGAACTTGGTGATTAAAAATTGGAGAGAAATTTAAGGGAAATGCTTACTTTAATAATTCATGTACATACACATAAAATCATGCCCCATAAGCTTAAAAATAAGTAACATTATTGCATTTACCTCAGTAGCATGGTGGAACTTATTTAAATAGTGCAAATTTACCAGTGAAATGTTCTGTCTAGGCAAACTTTTATTCTGATTCATTGGTTCATAAATTGCAATGCACATATCCCAGTGTCTAGTTATCGGGAAATTATTGACCAGATGTAATAGGAATGTATACCCTTACATACTAGGCTTTGCAAGAAACCCAATAGCAAATTGAAAATAGTAAAGCTAAACTGGCAGTGGGTCATTAGAAAGCAAGAATGGCAAGGATGGAAAACTATGACTAACTTGGAATGATGATCATGTGTGTGTATTTCTAGAAATGGTGGCATTTCTGCTTGTTGGTGTACATAGTTGTAACTTGGCAGGTTTGCCAAATACTGTGTTTTGGCCAGAGTCCTTAGTAAAATACTGAATTAGGCTTCTCTATGGTATTTCTAATAATTCATTTAATAGGTTGCTAGTAAGTACCTGTTAGTCATATGTGAAAGTTGGAAGCCTTAGGATTAAGAAAGGATCAAAGAAAGGCTTGCATTTTTTGGATTCATTTGAGGCCCATTCAAGACCATGTTTTGAATATTATGATTTTTATGTTAAACCTGGGCCCTGGGAAAGGCATTAACCTAAACCAAACACTTTTGGAAATATAATAAATGAAATTAATCTTTGATATCTTTTCTAACATTAATTTCAGGATACTAAAGTTTGGTATACCTAATTACATCATAGCCTTCTTAGGAACTCTGATACTCTTTAAATGTTTAAATTTTATAGGTGGTTGAACACCGTTTACATAGGTTGTTAAGGATTAGGGAACATTGGGAACAAATCTTCTCAGATGCTTCCGTTGTCTGTCACAGAGCGGTAGATCTTAGCCTTGGCTGCTCACCAGAATCACCTGGGAAACTTCAGAACATACTGATGTCTGGGTCCCACCCCAGGAGATTGTGATGCAGCTGGTTTGGGGTATATAGTCTGGGTACCCGGTTTTTTAATGGGGCTCTGGGTGATTCTGCTGTGCAGTCAAAGTTGAGACCGTCTACCTAAGAAACTGTTTCTTAGACAGTAGCTCCTGCAATCCTGGGAGACTGATACTTATCTGTGTTTTGGAAGGTAACAAAAGGTAAGGAATCTTCTATGATTAAAAAAAATTTTTTTTTAAAGCAAACTAAGATTTAATCTTTGGCCACTTTTATTTTGGGGGTAATTAATCTTAAATACCTTAAATTATCCTCATACTCTGAGAAGCTTTATGCCCTTTGACATACACCAGAGAGTCATGTCAAACTTACTAGGAATGCCTTATAGGTTTATAAGGAAGGAGGTTCCACGAGTTCTACATTTGGAGTTAAATGTCCTTTAGTATTTACTATTCTTTAAGTTGAATAAACTTAGGTTCTTATGCTCTGGTTAAGGTTCTTGCCTTTTTATCGACAGTGGAAGTGGTCATCCTCATATTACCTCCTTTGATAACTTGAAAATAAAGCTATCTTTAGTCTTCACAAGGTCATTTAACCCTGTGCTTTTGACCTTTCGTAAGTGATCCTGTTCTGCTAATAGAAGGTTAATATAAGTTAATGCTTAGTATAAATTTATTACTCTAGGGTAAGCCTGACATATGTAATTGTTCACCCAGCCTATTCCTCTTCAGTCTGTTGAAAATCACAGGAAACAAGTGGAGGCTGCACCTTCCTCTCTGGCTGCTGAAATTCCACTCTGATGTTTGTAGTGCCAGCATGGTCCTGGGCGACTGTTAGGCCAGTAACCGATTAGGACATAGGTATGAGTGAAAGTCGCTCAGTCGTGTCCAACTCTTTGCGATCACATGGACCATACAGTCCATGGAATTCTCCAGGCCAGAATACTGGAGTGGGTAGCCTTTCCCTTCTCCAGGGGCTCTTCCCAACCCAGAGATCAAACCCAGGTCTCCCATATTGCAGGCTTATTCTTTACCAACTGAGCCACAAGGTATGAGTCAACCTTAATTTATTTATTAAACAGAGGTAAAAGTTGAAGTACGTCTATGCGTCTAACCTTTGTCAATTAATTTTTTTTACGTGTAAAATTTACAGAGGTGATTAAGAAAGAAATTAAATTGCTATTTCCCCTAAAATCCTAAATGAAATAGTAAGTTGGAACACATCTGAAATTACTCTTAACAATGAACAAAACTTTTTAGAGCACAGCTGCAATTGACACTGTAAACAACACTCAGACAACAAAAGGAAAAAGAAGAGTACAGATTTGAGGTATTAAGAGCTTGAAGTTGGAGGACACGTCAGCATGGAAAACAGAGGTTGGGAAGAGGGTGGTCCCTGATTGCCTGTACTTAGCAGGTGGGGCAGCGAGCGTGGGCTCCCGAGGAGGGGCTCTGTCTGGCTGCCAGGTGAGACTGTTACATCAGTTTGGAACCTGCTGTTGCCTGCATCCTGGAACTCCAGGATTTTTTTTTTGTACCTTAGTATCTTGAAGTTATTTTTTTTGTAGCAAGAGATCTCAGTTTTATAATGGAAATCTTCAGACAAATAGGATTTACTTAACATCCAGCTTTGCTGGAATATATTTAGTCTAAATTGAAGGGTTTCTATAGTTTCTTAACTTTTATAGTTAGAATTAAAATATTAATGCTTCTTGGGGAAAGCCCAATCCATATTTCAAACTTGAAAGATTAAAAAAAGAAGTGGCATTTATGTTATTTAACATGGATATTTGAAAGAAAACAATGTACAGTTATTCATATGGAAAAAAATGAATTCCTACCTTACAATATACACAAAAAAATTATAGATGGACAATAAAACTTTACAAATTTTAGAAGAAAATACAGGGCAATATGTGTATGACTTCAGTAAGGAAGTTTCTTAAGTAACATACTGAGAAATATGTTCATGTGTGTACCTACCCTTAGTCAGATGCCCTGGAGAAACTCTTGCACCTCTGAACCAGGAGACATGTATAAGAATGTTTATTGCATTTTCATGATAGCAAAAAACTGGAAATAACCGTGTCCATCAGTAGGAAAATGGTTACATTCTGGAATAGAATATTGTTTATAGCAGTGAAAATAATTGAACAACAGCCACATGTGACATTATGGATCAAATTTAAAAATAAACTAGAGGAAAAATCAAGTAGCAAGCAGAAGATTGCGTGTAGGGTGATACCATTTTTACAAAGCTCAAAACTAAGATCTCATTTTGAGAGACTCGTGGCAAAATTACTTTTTAAAATCAGAGGAATGGAATTCTGTGTCAGTTCAGTGGTTAGGATTCTGAGCTTTCACTGCCAGACTCAAGAGTTTAATCCTTGGTCAGGGAACTAAGATTCCACAAACTGTGAGGCCAAAAAAAGTTGTTTTTTTTTTTTTTTTTTAAGTTAAAAAGAATTCCAGTGAATCAATGATAAAAGGTGATGCAACTAGAAAAAAAGCTAATAGTCAAAGGATCTAAACAATAGTTCACCAAAAAAAAAGAAAACTGAATGTCATTAACAGATGAATATGCACTCAGCCTTACTAGAGATCTTGCAAATGAAAACAGCAAGATCCTATTTCATATTCATCAGATTGGTAAAAATTGAAGAGTCTGGCAAAGACAAGTGTTGGTGAAAATGGATCACCAAGAGCTGTCCCCACTGGGCATGTTTAAAGAGGACAACTTGTCCACCTTGGAGGACAACTGAAAGATATCCCATTGAGTTGAAGATGCTCATAATGGAAGACCCAGCAATACTCCCAGTGCTCAGGAGGTGTTACAACAATGTTTATTCAGGTATTTATACTTGTTAAGAGTGAAACACTGGAAGCAGCATAAGTGTCCATTTACAGAAGAATGGATAAAAAACATTGTGACTCTTGTATAATGTCACAGCAGTGTACAGCAGTGAAATGGGTGAACTAAGAGCTACATGAATAAATCTCAAAGTCATAAAGTGGAATAAAAAAAGCAAGTTGTAGTACTGTAGAATAATACAGCACAGTATGAAACCCTTTATTAAGAGTTGAAATATACAAGGAGTAATATGTCATTTATGCGAATTTCTGTAGAATCATAACACAGCAACTTCACGTCGTTATGACTTCAGTGAAGAGGGAAGGAGTCTCACTTCAATCGTTTACATAGTTTTTTTAAAAAGACAAATGACCTGAGAGAAACATATCACAGGTTATTAACCTTTCTTTAATACAGGTAATGGGTACATGGATGTTGTATTGTCTGCGGTTTTTTCCCTATACGTTTGCAGTGTTTCATAATATTTTTTAAAATCCCACACGACTGTGGCTTTTAACTTGACAAGCTGTGTAACTTGACAGCACTCAGACCTGAGCTTTCCCCACTGGTAAGCCCTCAAACGCCGAGCGCAGGAAGGCTGTGCTTGCGCTTCACCTGGTAGTGCAGTCCTGGTGTGAGAGTAGATTGCTTGAATTTAGAAAATGACCGCCTAAGAACTATTACATACATGTTTCAGTTTGGTAAGTAGACATTTGTAAACCTTTGACCAATAGTTTATAACTTTACCTTTAATTTTCAAACGGGGATCTACCGCCTGATTAGTTCTGAGGCCTTAGGCAAAGTCGTTTTGGGCGTCAGAGTTTTATCTTCAGAGTCCTCTGCTGAGTTTTGTCATGGGCTCATAAGCATAAAAGCATCAGAGCCTGGCACACACTGGGTGCCCAGTCTGTTTCGGTAGTGTTACACCTGACAGATGCCTCTGACCTCTGCCTTTAGTGAATGGCCTCTCACTTCACTGACAAGGCTTTATTTCCATTTTGGAAGGGCTGTTGCTTATTTAGTCTGTGGGTAGCTCTAGGTGGTCTCAAAGCCTCTGGTCTCTAGGACAGAACTCTGGGCGTCCGCCTTCCTGCCAGGCCTCCCTGACATGTGGTGCGTGTTTCAGGCCTTCTCCACAGTAGGCACTCCTGACTACATTGCTCCTGAAGTGTTCATGCAGACCGGGTACAACAAGCTCTGTGATTGGTGGTCGCTGGGGGTGATCATGTATGAAATGCTCATTGGTAAGTCGCGTGCTTTCAGGAACTTTTTCTGTGGGGTCAGGAAAGAGCCCTGCGTTGATAAGACTGTTTCAGTTGGGGTACTAAGTGAGCACTTCTCCCCCCTTGTCTTTCACTGAGAAGCTTCCCAGGTAGAAGACTCTGGGTCATCAAATGAATCCCACTGTATTCGGGCTCATGGGCACCCTGTCATGGCTTTGCTGATCATTTATCATGGTTTTCTCTGACTTTTCCATCCTCTCCATCTGGCAGCTCTTTCATTCACTGACATTTAGTAAACACCCACTGTATTCAGAGAGCCTTCACTGGGCAGTATTAGAAGCTCTTACTTGCTGTCCCCCTTCCCTCTCAAAGCCTTCAAAGCATGGACCCCTCTGACCTCTCTCCCTCTTGCTTGGTGTATCTGTATTTAGGGGACGTGTCCATGGGGCTGCCATATGCCTGAGCCCTAGGAGAGCCCTGTCAGTGGTGGCCTAGAGCGAGTCCGTGTGAATGATGGTGTGGCAGCGTCTGGCTGTTGTCTTCGGAACGTGGGATGGTTGCCTGTGGAGGGGGATGTGATCTGTGTGGGGGGCAGGTGGAGTAACACGCTGTGACTGCCCTCTCCCCTGCAGTTCTCAGGCGTGGGGTCACTTTTCCCAAATAAGGATGTTCCTAGAGGGGTCGTTTCTTAGTGTCACATCCTTTCTTTTCCCTCTTGGGGCACAGGGAGCCCTGTGTCTACAGCTCGGCTTCTGTCCTCCCTCCTCTTGAGCCTAGCTGGCTCCCTCATGGTATCGGAAGCACAACTTCACTTTGGATTTGGGGGGAAATGAACAATTGGTTTAGCTGTTTTCTGGGATGAGTGGGAATCCTGTCCATGTCACATAGGAAAGGACACATAGGATCATTAAAATTCTATTAGAATGAAATTAAGTGGAATAATCTCACTCAGATTCAGAGTTCTGGGATGTGAGAGCTCCGAAGTTCCCTTTTCATTACAGGCTACCCACCTTTCTGTTCTGAGACCCCTCAAGAGACATATAAGAAGGTGATGAACTGGAAAGAAACTTTGACTTTTCCTCCAGAAGTTCCTATTTCTGAGAAAGCCAAGGATCTAATTTTGAGGTATCAGAGAACATTTCCCCTGTCCCCCACCTAGGCCTTTTGAGATGAATGAATCCTTTTTTTTTTTTTTTTTTTTAAGAAATTTCATCATTTCCTAGGTCTGCCTGCCCTCTGCTTCCTCCCATTTCTCTCTTTTTTTAAAAAAGGGGGAGGTTATTCCTTTCTTTTTCTGAGAAGACTACTTGAGGTGTGCTGAAAGGCCTCTCTTTTCCAGATTCTGCTGTGAATGGGAACATAGAATTGGAGCCCCTGGAGTTGAGGAAATCAAAAGTAATTCTTTTTTTGAAGGTGTTGACTGGGAACATATCAGGTATATCCATATAAAAGCTTTCAGGATAATTTGAGTCTATAGTTTACTTAATACTAATTTAGAAGCCATTACTGGCATGCCAAATATGGGAAGAGAGCTTCTTGGAAATTCAGGGTCTTGTCCTGATTTTTATTCCTGTTAAGGATTGGGAGTTGGGACTTAGTGTCGGCCATGTGCCACAGGATTCGTTGAAGCCAGCAGTTGTTTCCAAAGTTAAACAACTTTGGATTCCATGGTGAAAGGACTGCCTGAGCATCGTGTTCCACTTGCTTTTTACCTCGGACACACCAGTCTTCAGTGTTGGGGGCCACCAGCCAGACAGTCTGTACCCACAGGTGGAGGCTGTTATTGGGGGGTAGAGAAGGAAGAAAGGAATGGAGGGTCGGGAGGCACAGAGGGGAGGAAGAGGAGCATGAAATTGTTGTGGGGGGTGGGTCGTAGAGCGCTGCCAATATACTGCCCACACCGCCATAGCCAGCATTCCCTGGTTGCTAAACAGAAGATGAAGTTGTATCTGTTTCATAATTGTCCCTAATGTGCATGCTTGTGATTTTTAACCTTTGCCTTTTAGCCTCTCTACTTGGTGGCACTTCTGGTAGAAGAGGGCAGAGCCCTGCACGAAGGGATGTGTAGAGGTTGGGTTTCCCTTTTCAGCAGACAGGGCAGGCTGTCAGGAGTATGCTAACTTTGAATTTTAATTGCACTTTATTTTTCTTGTCTTTCTTCCTAGCTATGGATAACTTATATTTTTTCATCACAATTTTGTTTGGATTTAGTCAGCTAGTGTGGTTGTCAGTGTTCATAGCTTTTCAAAGGAAATAAAGGCTGCCTGTCAGTGGACAGTGTTTCCCTGCCAGTCAGATCAGGGGTCTTTCCCGGACTTGTTAGTTGTGACCCATGATTACTAACCATGGTAATTTTTGGCATCTGTTCTTGGCAGAGAGAGACCTGCTGCAATATCTATTGAAATCAAAAGCATTGATGATACCTCAAACTTCGATGAGTTTCCAGAATCTGATATTCTTAAGCCAACAGGTAATACCACCACCACCACCTCAGGCTGCCTTATCAGTGTATTATTTCCCCCAAATTTGGGTGTGATGTTTACAAATCACACTTGATCTTAACCAAAAGGCCGAGAAGCGATGATGTTTACAAATCTGAGTAGAGAACACGGAGAGGAACTTCAGTTCTTCAGACTCTTTGTAAGTATTTTTCCAGTGTTAATGCTGGGCAGCAAGTGAGACCTTGCCAAATGGAAAGTGAATACGAACGCCCACGTTTAGACGGCTCAACCACACAGATTTGCTCTCTTTATTAAATTAAAGGCTAGGTAACCTGAAATGACAGAAATGGGAAAATAAAACTTTAAAAGTATTGTGAAAAATATGAGGTTCAAGGAACATAGGCAAGCAAATGTAGACAATCTGCAGAATGTTCTCCAGAATGTCACGTCTTCAGTACTGAGTAGTCCGTCAGGGTAAGGCCGTGAATCAACTCTCACATCTGTTTCTTCCCCAGTGGCAACAAGTAATCACCCTGAGACAGACTACAAGAACAAAGACTGGGTCTTCATCAATTACACCTACAAGCGCTTTGAGGGCCTGACCGCCCGGGGCGCGATACCTTCCTACATGAAAGCAGCAAAATAGTGTTCCTTGAAAAGGGATCCTAAATCGAGCAGAGTTCTTTGTACAACATCATGGTTTTCTTCTCACCTACTTTTGAAAGAGTTTCCAGGAAGCTTATGGAACCCACCAACGTGGTGAACATGGTGATAGTAAGTGGATTCTCTTCCATAACACATCTGATGACCGGTAGAACAAAGACAACCGTTTCTACTGTGTTGGCCATGAACGGCTGTCCTTCTTTAGAAGCATCATGAGCCAATCTGATGTTTTAAAAAACCTCAAATTTTCCTAAGTTCATCAGAATGAAGGGGGAAAAACAGCCATCATCTAACTTTGAGACTGTAACATAAACTTATTATCAGCCAGTTCTGGGTTTCTGTGACATGCTTCCTGTCAAGCCCACCAAGTGTTTTTTTTTCTTTACGGCTAAAAGTTCGTAGTACTAAAGGAAATAAAGCAATAAAGAGCGTCAGCAGCCAGCATTCTGGCTGAAGGAAATGATCCACCATTCTGAATGGATGGTTATGGTGGTTTCTCCCCAGACCTCAGCCTCTGGCAAATGGCTTTTTATAGCCTTCAATCATGGTGCACTTTATTTATGGTACTAGGATAAAGACTCTCAATCCATTTTGATTTATTTGCTTCTGCCCATCTAAAATACTCCTGCTGCTTTTCTGAGTGTTGATGGAGGAGGCCAGCTTGATCCATCATTGCTCTTAGAAGGCCAAAGGCTGCTGGGCATCACCAAGGAGTCGCAGATCATGTGGAAAATTTTCACCTCTTCACGACTGTATCAGAAAATCCCTTTGGATATTGCCATGGCCCAGCAATACCCACAAGTGCTGCCAACAGGACCTCAGCTCCTTCCTGGGAACACATCAGGGGCAGCCTGGGCAGAAGCAGGTGGCCTGGAACCCTCTTGGCTAAGGTGCTGCTCCTGTTCTGTCTCCAGGACCTCCTTGCAAGCTGTGAGGGAACCAGCCCAGTACACAGTGCAGAGCCAGCCTGCAGATGCTTGTATAGTTCACTCCTCAGTCCCTGGTGTGACCGTATTTGTATTCTCAGTGTTTCTCCTCTCCCAACTTTAAGGAACCATTTTGCCTTGGAATCATGATTACAAATTTTTCCTTTGCAGATGCCTTCCTGGGGGATGGTCCTCTCCACCCTAAAGGGTCACCTGCAGGCCTGGGCTGACCCGGCCTCTCTGCTGGGGTGGTCTCTGAAGAGAGACCCTCTGAATTTTAGCACGAAGTGCCTTTTCTTTCACAGCTGCCACCACCTTTAGAGAACTTTTGCTGCATCAGAAAAATGTGGAGGCTCCATATTAATGCATTATTGCTTTAAAAAATTTTGATGACTCTTAAAGCGTCATTTGCACCTATGTGGTAACTTTGCATATTGCAGAGTGTCGTGGCCAAGTCACAACTGGGAGACTGCTTCCTGCCAGTCTTGAGGTTGTAAACATCAGCTATGAAAGGAAAGTATGTTCTAGCCTAGCCATTCAGGAAAAAAAAAAAGGAATATCAAAGTGACAGTAGTAAGTGAAACTGCTTTAGAGGAAGGAAAAAGAATTTTAGGGAGATATTAACTCTGGATGAAGATCATGTGTTTGCCCCTTATTCTTTCATTCATGGTTTGCTGGTGAAGAGGAAGCGAGAGTCTTTTGTGTAACTATGTAGTTTCTTTGGATTACCAAATAGTTGGGGTCTTGACCCTCATGTGTTTTGCAAGTGTGTGGTAAGCATGGGTAATGAGAATGGGGGGTGAGTCTGTATGTTGGAAACTGGCATGGAATGATTTTTCTTGGGCGGGGGCGCGGGGGATGCCCACATTTTAACTTCTAAACTTCTGAATAAACTGTGTGAAAACAGCTGTATAAATTTGTGCGTTTTAAAGCAAACATGGCTTGTTAATACCGAGGCAGAGTGCTGGTGGCTTCTAAACCCGTTTGTCTGCAAAGCATTGGAACAGTGAACATCTTTAGGCGGAATGCTTTACTGCCTCAGGGAAGATGGGAGCCTGCCCTTCTGAACTGGAGCTTGTGTGAAGAGACGTCTGCTGGCCCCAGCCTCTGCTCCTTGCACCTGGCTCGGTCGCAGGGCGGCGGGCACTCCTGCAGTTCAGTGCAGCAAGGCCGAGGGGAGACCTGCTGACCAAAGGACCCTCTGTACAGCTGTTTGTAGCTCAGCCCAGCCCCGTTTTTCCCACAAGCTCCCAAGATGGACACCTCAGCTCCTGGGGTCCACCAGTGCAGGGCTCTCTGCTCGAGACCTGTAAGTGAGGAGTCTTCTCTGGGTCCAGAAAAGGAGCCACGGGCAAAGAGCAAGCAGGGTGGAATCTGCAGGGCATCTGTTTAAATGCAGCTTCAACAGAATGTGTTGTCTTCCCATGGCTCAGGAGTTTCAAGAAATATCGGGAACCGTTGTTTCTGGGTTCTGTCTCTTAGGGGGAGTTAGAAAATAATAGACCTTAACTGTACCACGTACTAAAGTGAAACCGAATACTGATGTCATTCAGTCTCCTTGATTCAGGAGTACAGCAGAATTTTCTTCAGTGACTATTTAAGAATTACTTTCAAAAGTAAGAGGCAAATTCCTTTGGGATTAATAGGCACTGACTAGCAGATGGCTGATTTTAGTGCTCATCTATATAACATAAGAATCCTCTGCCACTGATTGTGAATACTCTTTCTCTGAATCATCTCCTGGAAAATATATTTCTTGGATCACCTTGTGTGATCTGCTGAGCCTCTTGTGTGTCACCCAAATGGTGTTTTTAAGTGAATGCAAAAAGGATTCAGTGAATGGTATTTTCCTTTCCTAGTTAGCAACATTTCCCTGGAATCGTCTATCAAAGCCAACACTGACTTAGGCTCTACAATGCTTTTCAGGCATATTTTCAGAGATAAACATCTTGCCCACATAATACTTAAGCATCCATAACATAAGAGAGCTCAGTCCCAGGCACACAGGGGAGCAATAGGGAGCCCACGATCGTTCTGAACCACAGATCAGTGTGAGGAAAGAGTTCCCAGCCAGCAAGTTGGCTTAAGAGAATTGCGGCATCAACTATAAAGTTACTACTATATTAGTGTTGCTGTAACAGTACCGTTAAGCCAACCCTGAGTTCCTGGGAAGGTTGAGGACACTTTCAGAGATGTTTTTAAGTAGCAGTGATTTAGCAGAGGGGAAAGTGCAGGCCCGGATTTGGGAGGCTGGTAGGTATGCTCCCCTGCAGTGACAGAGGCATGGAGCTACGAATAAGTATTACTTTCTAAAGAACACTTCTCAGTGTTAACTGCATTTCCCTCTTGCTTCTGGTTTCTTCCAGTTGTATGAAATGTGTTAGTATTAATTATCCCATGTGCAAAACATGCTACTACTTTTTAAAATCATTCCTCTGGTCACTGGTGTCCTAACTGCCTTAGGCACTGGCTTCTCTTCAGCCCCCATCTACCTGACCATTCTGCGGCCCTTTCACTGCTGATTTAAAAACAACTGCTTCACCTCTTTGACTTACTGTTTGTAGTTCTACTTCTGCCTAAGTGCTGGGTCTCCTCAGAACAGTGCCTTTTCCTTCTTTTCACTCCTGTGACTTCCTCTATACTGTGGCTTCAACTGCCATTTTTGTGACGAGATCTTCAAAATGACCATCCTGCCCAGAATATCTCCCCAGAACTCTAGATCCCACATAACAAGTCCCTATCAGAAACTACCATCTGGAAGCCCTCTTATAAGCACAAACTGTTTAGGGAGCTTTTCTTGCTTCCACTGGCGTCTTTTTAGCTCATTCTTCCTGCTGTCCACGCCAGAAATTTTTTACACAACTCCCATCAGTGAACATATATAATTCTTGAATGTGATCATCCATCCTGCCAGTCTTCATCATTCCTTGCTGAATCCATTGTTGTGGTCTCTTAGCTGGCCTGTTTGTTCCTATTCCTTCCCCTTTCAAGTCTTGTTCTCCCTGCTGCCAAAGAAATTCTTTTAAATTTCAGATCTGGTCATGTCATTCTCCTGCATAAAACCCATTGTTGTTCACTCATTCTTTGTTGTCCAACTCTTTGTGACCCCATGGACATCAGCATGCCAGGCTCCCTGTCCATCACCAACTCCAGAGCTTGCTCAAACTCAGGTCTGTCCAGTCAGTGATGCCATCCAACTGTCTCATCCTCTGTCATCCCCTTCTCCTCCTGCCTTCAATCCTTCCCAGCATCAGGGTCTTTTCCAATGAGTTGGCTCTTCGCATCAGGTGGCCAAAGTATTGGAGCTTCAGCTTCAGTCCTTCCAGTGAATATTCAGGATTGATTCCTTTTAGAATTGACTGGTTTGATCTTGCAGTCCAAGGGGACTCTCAAGAGTCTTCTCCAACACCACAGTTCAAAACCACTAATTCTTCAGTGCTCAGCCTTCTTTATGGTCCACCTCTCACATCCATACATGACTACTGGAAAAACCATACAGACCTTTGTTGGCAAAGTAATGTCTCTGCTTTTTAATATGCTGTCTAGGTTTGTCGTAGCTTTTCTTCCCAGGAGCATCTTTTATGACTGCAGTCACCATCTGCAGTGATTTTGGAGCCCAAGAAAATAAAGTCTGTCACTGATTCCATTGTTTCCCCATCTATCTTCCATGAAGTGGTGAGATAGGACACCATGATCTTAGGTTTTTGAATGTTGAGTTTTAAGCCAGCTTTTTCACTCTTTCACCTTCATCAAAGAAGGCTCTTTAGTTCCTCTTCACTTTCTTCCTTAAGGGTGGTGGTATCTGCATATCTGAGGTTATTGATAAAACCCTTAAGGGTCCCAAATAGCTTATGCAGTGAGACCAAACACCTTGTCTGAGGTACAGGGGTCCTTCCTTACTCTGGCCTCATTTCTGCATGCCCCCGTCCTCTTCCCTCATGACAGTAGGCAACTATTTCAACCTTCACATCTTTGATTACACAGTTGAGCTGGTCTGGAATTCTTCCTTTTAGATTCATGGATCCAAAACCACTATGTTTGTCTTTCACAGTTTGGTTCACATGTCATGTATAGAATCCTCTCCTGAACTCTCCTCTAATCCTCATAGTAAGAACTGGCTACTCTACCCTTTTGGGATTCCCAAGTGACCTCAACTATTTATGGATCTGTCTTCACGCAATTATAAAAGCCCTCTGAAGGGAGGAATTGTGTCCTAGGCAATGTGTCCCCATGATTAAGCAGTGTTTGCCCTTGAACATACTTAACAGGCCATGTCTTCAGAGCATGTTCTGAACCTCTGTGCTGCTAAGGGCAGGCCTGTCAGGGAGGCCAGCTTGCTTAGCACCCTTTAAGTCATCACTATCACCAATAAGCTGAGGAGCAAGGTGCCCACAGCAGTGCTTTCCAGGGACCCAGCTTCTTACTTACCTTTCACTCCTGCTGTGTTTACTCACTTGCTCTAAACCAAAATTAGAGCATAGAGGTATGAGCTGTCTTACCTTATTTTACATTTGGCTTTGTGGGGTCCTTAGTTGGATTTGAGGGTTCAAGTGGTCTTGAATGCAAGTTAACCAGACACTTGAGAAGGCAGACTGTTAGGGCTCTGGAACCTACGAATTACAAGGAACCGCAGGGTGGGGAAGCAGACATGGGCTGCAGGTGAGCTCCCAGCTGCCGCAGGAAAGGAAGAGATCTTCGAGGACAGCCTGTGTGCTGCTACTGTCAGCTCCAAACCTAGTCTCTGCTAAAAACAGCAACAACAAAAACAACATGGACACAAATGATAACATTTTATTATAGAAAAAGCATCCCAAATATAAGGATTTCGTAAACACTGGTAGGTGAACAAGTGCAACTTTAAAACGTAAATACAAAGTAAAGAGGCAAAACCTACGAGCATTTTGCCTTAAAGAGGAAATGTCATGTTCTCCTGCAGAGGGTATCCCACCAGAGCACGAACGTGGCTCCATCTCCCACAAAGGCCTCAGGTCTGCTTGCTGAACTATGCCCAGTTTAACAATTTCAAAATGATGGCAAGAAGTGGCACTGAGTAAATCACCAAGACTGACTCTTAACTTTCTATTGACTATTACTCAGTAAAGGCTCCCATCACACTCTGGCTGTTTCCTCAGAGGAGGATCAGCTGGAACACTGTCCATCCTTCCTGGGCTTATTCCACAGTGTTTTCACAGACCTGCATACATTAGGTTACCACGCAGAATTTAGTTCAAAACAGCATTGGTTATTGCATATTGTGCAATAAATTAAGCTACTTTCTAGCACCCTTACCCTTTTTTCTGTCACTCTTCTAATACCTTTTCTCCACTTTGGAGAAGCCACTAAGTCATCTCAGACACAGGCGAACAGTCTCCAAACCTGCATCCAGTTCCTTAATGGCAACTGCTCCCGCGCCAGCCGTGTACGACCGGATGCGCACAGACTCAGATCCTCAGCCTCAGTTCAGGTTTATCTGCTTGCTGACACAGATACCTCTGAATAAGACAGCCTGGGCAAAACCATCTTTATGAAAATGTTTCTGTACAAACTGTCTGGCTTTCTTATTTAGGCACTTAGGAAAAAAAACAACAAACCTGAGTGCTACCTTTTTCATGAGAAACACCTCTTGCCCAGCTGGCCAGTAGCTGACTCCTGACGAGAGTGACTGTAACCCAGCTCTTGGCCCTGCGAGACTGTGAGGTCCTGCCACTGCGGAATGTCCTGGCCCTGGGGACAGCAGCTGTGGCTGAGAGGAGCCACCAAATCAGCGATGCTTCCCTCCAGGCTGGAGGGGAGGGCCACCGAAGATACCCTCTCCACCAGAGGGAGCCTGCAGGCCCAGCTTGCCCCCCAGCCACCACCCCCTGGTGACACCGCCATGCATTTCCAGCTCACTCACACCTGAAGCGCTGGGTCCAAAAGCACGTCAACCCAATTCTGGGGGAAAAAAGACCTAGTTTTTAAAAGCCTGAGGAAATTAAATTATTTACACAGAGCAGAGTGTTAAGTACAAGCCATACTTTCATACTTAGCCTTTTACCTAAGCAAGGACTAATTGTGTTAGCTAAGACATGTTTGCCCCTAAATGTTAATATGTAAGCTATAAAACAAATTACACATAATTACTACAGACTACACAAAAGTTTAACTCCAGTTTCCTTTGTGATGGCATGGAAGTCAACTGTAAAGGAAGCACCATTAAACAATCTGGGCTGGTCAACTACTCACGCGTGTAAATGTAGTCCCAGGAAGGTCAAAGCCAAGCCTGACCTCACACATGAGCCAGTTCTTTTCACAGAATTAAAACTACCCTCTGGGCTACAAAATAACACTAACCCTCAACATCAATCCTGGCCATCAGCCATACAAACGGATGCCAGTGTTCATCAGAGTGACTCTGTAGCTGGGGGATGGCTCAGTTTAAACCCTTGCTACTAATTTTTCTGAATAACAACAGAGCATTGATGTGTGGTCACATGCACAGAACACACGCCTTAAGAACACTCTTGTTCATCAAGCCTGGAAAAAGTAGCTGTCAGCACACTCCTGACTTTACCTTTGGAGGACTGTGACTAGGGCAGTCATAAAATGGCATTGAGTAGCTTCCCTACTAGTATGTTATGGAAATATGAGACACAGTATCGTATGGAATTTTTAAAAAGGCCTGTTCTTAAAGAACTTGAAGGAAACTGTGTCCCTTCTTAAATGCTCAGGCTCAGTGACTGGAAGGCCAACCTCTACCACAAAATGGGAGAAAGTCTCAAGATGTGTCTGGCTGTAAACTCTGAACCAAGCTCTACAGTTCACAGCCACGGGGACATCAGTACAGAGAGGAGTGACCACGCTCTGTTAACACAGAGCCGACAGCAATCAGATCACTGAGCTGGATTCCCTTCTACCCATTCTTCCTTTGGGGTTGACCCTAGTATGGTTTTCCTACCTAGTGTGTGAGCAACTGACAGACTGTTTAAAAAATCAAAATACCTTGATACCTAAAATATTCCATGGTATGAAATGAACATACAACGAAAAATCCTACGCTGGGACAAAGCCTAACCAGGTGACGTTTCCCCACTCAGATTCACCCCCAATCTTTCTTCCCAAGCTCTTACTAGTCTTCCTGTTGAGAAACTGAGCACTTTTGGAAACTTACTGCTCACATCTTAAAAGCCTGTTAAGTCATATCTGAGGTCTCCGAGACACACCCACAGCAACATGCTAGCCTAGGGTGAAGGCTACAGCTTCACACCAGATTCCGAGCCAGGAGAATCAAAGTGGTCTGATCTGGAGAGCTTCTTCAACTTGGGTTGTGAATTTCATTCCAATAATAATCTGTTTAGACTCAAAAACCTTGCAGCTAAAAAGGTTTCATAAACACTGTTACACATTATCCTTCCTGTCAAAGAATCTGTGAGGTTTTAGATTATTCACTGCTATAATGAAAAACAAAACTGAATTGAAGCTCTTAAGAATCTCCTTTTGAACATTTTGCGTTAAGAGCCTATTTCTTCCCAGATGCAGCCTGGGCACAGATGCCACCAGGATGGTACCTTTACTAACCTCTAATGGGCACCCCATCAGTGTGTGTTTGTAGAAGGTACAGATTGTCTCCTTTTAAGTTTGGTCCCTTGCTGCTAAGTAATTCGCCTGGTATTAAACAAAACAAACAACAACCAAGAACAGAGTGTGAAGGACGAGAACTGCTTTGCCAAATATGAGGTAACAGGAGTCCTGACTTCCTTTTCTGCTTCCAGTTATGCAGACTTGGTGAACAGCACCAGACCCCAAATTTTCAAGTTTCCAGGGCTGCTGCAAAGCTGGTATTTGAATTACCAGCTAATGCTTTTTCATCCTCTGCCGGAGGCACAGGCTTACTGAAAAGGATACAGGTTAATTATGGGAGAAGAGGAAAGGATGGGGGAGAAGCATGTGAGACAAACAGGGGAGTACTGGCTGGGCATCCCATACAGAGACAAGGCCTGCAGAGGGACAGACCCACAGCCCGCCCTAATCCTGAAAGTCATTAGAAGCCATCTGAGAAAGTGGGGCATTCAGCCGGTCAAGTTCATCCACTTGGGGTGGATGGTGCATTAAGATTTCTTGGTCCTCCAAGACATCTTCTCCAGCAGCTACTAGATTTGTGAGGGATTTGCTTCTAACACACTGGAAATCCACATGGCGACTCTTTCCTTCTTCTTTTTCCCATGACATCTGGATAAAGGGGCGCTGCACATAATTATAGATTACTTCAGACCGGCCGCCAGGTCTCCTCTTAATTTTTTCTTTACAGGTAGGATAACCTGAAACGGGGGGAAAAAAGGCCATCATAACCCCAGAAAATCACTCACTCGAGTTCCCATACTTCCTTCTTTCTAACCACATCAGTTTCCTCCCAAGTCTCAAGACCATGTGAAAACCACAGGGAGGAGACCATATTTCCCAGCCCCAGCTGCCCAGGTTAAGTAGGTCTTGTCCCTGAAAGACAAATAACAAAAACTGTATTCTTCCTAATGGAAGGGGGAGAAGCCTCTTACTAATTTCAGAAGTCTTTCTTTTACTGGCTTGAACACTATAGAACAAAAATCCTACTGTGGCATGGCTACTATGGCCCTCTCATTCTATGGCCTAGAGGGCATCCTGTATGAATAGGTAAATGTGAAATGTTTAAATCTAAAGGAAAAACTGGGATGCTGCCTACAGTATCTAAAAGGCTGTCACATGGAAATGGGAGAAATCTTACTCAACTTCACAGACTAGAACTAGAAGGAAGACGGAAGAGGGAGGAGGTCATCTACTAACGGTGGAAGAGTGTTCTCATGGTAGGACAGTATGATGGGCTACTCTGTGAAATGGAGTGACCCCTCTCCCTCTGTCCCTATAGTTATCCAAGAGATAAAGGAGGACGTAGTAGAAAGAGGTTTAATAGATGATCTCAAAAATCTCTTCCAACTTTAAGTTCCAACCTAAGTCAGACACAGTGACAGGTTCTGAGGGCAACACCGAGACAGCTACAGCAGCAAAACAAGTGTCAAAGACCCACGGAGGGGAGACCAGAATGGTTTCCGCACTCTCTCAAGTCAGTCTCCAATATGCTTCCATGGAGATCACAGGTTGGGAGCCACTGCTCAAATCACTTAAAGCAGGTCTGTCAATATACCCAGACATTCCTCAGGGGTATGCAGTAGAATAAAACGAGTCTCTAAGTTAGTTTTCAGAAGGACCCTTTCAGATCCCAGAAAGGTCCTCACTAGGACTGCTGACTAAACAGATGACCCTCCCACGTTGGTGAGCCCACGAGCCCTGCATTTCCCTCCAGTGTCCTTCGCCCTGACTGCTCTGTATCTTGAGGCAGTCAACTGGAACTTATTCCTACAGCTGCTTTAAAGCATTTTCAAATGTAAATGAAAATGTATGGGCAAAACAAAAACAGGAATTTCAAACTTGGGTAGGAATGTGGTTTCCATGTGTGTCTATTCTCTAGGCCCTCAGAAACCAGGTTTTAATGACATAAGATAGCCACATATCCAACTATATCCACAAGCCATGCAAGCTGGATACTGACGGGATTGTTCGTTACCTTCAATTCCAATGCGAATGTTTTTCAGGCCCCGTTCCTTTAACACTGTTTTAGCAACATCCCGATTCTCAATGTATTTGAAAAATCTGTAGAGCTTAGAGCTATAAAGAACTGGAAAAGAAAAAATAAGTCTGGGGTTAGTCATGGAGTGAATACCTCTGTAAGAGAAAGATGAGCTAACAGATTCAGACTGATGAATGACCTGAGCCCTGATGCCAAAAAATTCATATGGATCACAGAGTAAATGTTAAATAATAAATCAACCATAAGAAACGATGTTAAATTTTTATAGCCTCAGGGGTAGGGAAGGCTTTCTGGATATGACATAAAACCTAGAAGTCATAAAGGAAAAACTAAAAAATCTCTGCTTACCCAAAACCAAACAAAGCTAAGAAGACAACGAACTGAGAAAAATATCTGCCACTCTTATTACAAAGGGCTAATTTCCTTGATATCTATAAAGAGAGTAGTCACAAAGAGAGCTTTTACAAACCACTAAGTAAAAGACTAACAATCCAACTTTGTAATGGGCAAAAGGCATGATTACAGTTAACAGAAAAGGAAATTAACATGGCTTTTAAAAAGATGTTCAGTCTCATTCATGGACTAAGAAATGCAAATTAAAACTCCAGCAAGATGCCGTCTTTGACGTACCAGAGTGGCAAATATAAAATTTCAGTAAAACTGTGTCTTGGTGAAAAATGGGAAATAAACTCATCATATATTGTTTTGTGAGTTATAAACTGGCTCAACCTTTAGAGAAGATAATTTGGCAAATTTTATTAAAATCATAAAAGCACAAAGGTTTTGACACAGAAATTCTATTTCTAGGAATATTATTCTACAGAGATATACATGTGTGAAAAGACTTTCTTTAAAAAGATAATTAAAAAAAAAAATAAAAAAAAATAAAAAGATAATTCACTGGAGCATCAGTCATAATTTATAGCTTAAATGGTCATCAAGAGGGCTGGTTAAATCAATTATGGCAATCATGCAATGGAATACTATACAGTCATTAAAGAGATGGTAGAAGCTTTTTAATATAAGACATGATATAGAATAGCCTCTACAATATGGTATCTTTTGGGGGAAAAAACATGTACATAATTGCTTATGTATGTGCACTGAATAAATCTGGAAGGATATAAAAGAAACTGAAGAGGAAAACTACGTGGATGAGGAAGGGTGGGAAGAAAACTTCTCAATGTATATCCTTTTGTATTTTCTGAATTTTGAATCACTACCAATTCAAAAGGATTTAAAAATGAAACAAGTGGAGAAAGGAATGACAGCACCACTTAACGTGTGGCCTCGGTGCTGACCCAGCAGGGACACCAGGGGCAGGCGTGGGAAGCACAGGCACGCTCACACACTCCCCAGCATGGAAGACCTGCGTCACCAGACTGACCATCCAGGTGAGTGTGCTGATCACCAGCTCCCCAGTGACAGCCCACTGGTTCTAAGATCTAGCTCTGACTCTGGGCAGCACGTTTCTTGCTGAAAACATCGACATCATGCAGGGGGCTCCTACTTTGAGAATATTCCTCTCCCATGGGTGGGGGGTGATCTTCGTCCCAGTCCACAGAATCCTCATCCGTCAGCACGACAATGTGGCATTCTCTCTCCCCTTTCTTGGCACAGCCCACCATGATGGGCAGGATCAGCTCTTCGAGGTAGTGATCAAACTGCTTGTGAGCACCATCATTAGACAGTTCATGCAGTAAAGCACCTGGGAGACAAAATGCAAGTGAACATCCTCTCTGCTCAAATGCAGGTATTACTGGAGTGAAAAGATGATGAGGTAACGGCTATTATCATTGGTAAGGTCCAGAAACGTGGCTCATTTCAAGGCAGAGAATGTTTCCTGCTCTGAGGTGATAATTAAGCTGAATTTGTTACATGCTTTACACATTCTACCAATCTTCTGTTTAATAAACCCTGAGCATTCTGAACAGTTGAGGGTTTTTTCAACATGCAATGTCAGAACATAAACATTAATTCTATAAGAGATAGAACCATCATTTGGGGATGACTCTTTATAGCATCTCTTCTGAAGATGCTCTGGACTACAATTTAGAGTACCACAGGAGAGGCATAATCTAAGGTTTGGAGACACCAAAGGACTTTCTCTAAGTGGGTACTAGACTCAGTAGAGAAACCACACATCCAGAGAATGTCATGGAATATGAAGAAAAATGTATCATGAATTTTAAAGAATTTTAAAATCATTTTACAAAGCTTAGATAATGATAAGAGCACTCAATCAGTTATCCCAGCTTTGAAATTTACAGCTTTGAACAAGCCAATTTCTCCATCTTTTCATTTGTTAAGTGAGATTATCACCCATCTTTCAAGGGTTAATTGTGAAAATTAATGCAAGTTCACATCTATAAAGCACTTAACAAACACTAAGTTAATGATAAACTGTAAGAAGTACCAGCCAATTTATGTCCTGTGACTATTAGTGAACCTTCCCTCACATCTGAAGATGAGCATCCTTATTTGTTAAAGAGTTGAGATACCAAGGTCCGAAGAGAGGAAGCAATTAGCTTGGTGACTCACGGGGTCAAGCTAGCCTTAGAACCCACTCATGTTCTTGTGTTTACTCTACTTCCTCACAGTTTTGAAGCAAGAGAGGGATGGTTAGCACCATGTCTCTTCTCTGCAGATGATCTCCAACCCACACTTGAAATGCTTTCTGTTTAGTAATAAAAATGTCAACTCTAAGCAAATTCAAAGTTTAGCTGCTCAAATGCAGTTGGCAGCTTCTCCTGTACTCACTCAGATCTTGACATCGGATAGTGTTGAAGTCAAAGTTAATGCAGAGATAATCACACGTATCTCTAAGGTCTGGTATAGAGATGCCATCAGGACAATTGATGATACCAGTTTTGTAATAATCCTATAAAGAGAAAAAAGAGGAAATATAGTCAGAAACAAGATGAAAGCGTCCCTCTTCAACCCTGACTCATTCACTCCTGGTTCAGGTAAAGTGCTGGGTTACTAAACCTACCACCAAGTTGGTGATTCATGAGACAGTAAAGTGGCTCCCGGCCATCTTGACATGTTTAATCACAACTTGATACCTGACTGAGCTCACACAAGCAAGAAGGACTTAAGAATTACAGGAAGAGAAAATAAAGCAGGAAAGGCAATAACTAGAAATGACAAACCCTGAAGTCAGAGCACAGCCTGATGGAACTCTGAAGGCTTCTGACTACACAGCCCCCAGGGAAGGGGATGGAACAAGAGGTCACTACGCACCAGCACCGTCCTGAATACAGTTGCACTGATTCCTTCTGCAATCTCATACTCGCCCTTCTCGTTGGGACGTGTGAAGTTGTACTCTCTTCCTGGTCCAAACATCCTGAAAGATACCCAGGCAACAGTGTTACCCTCTCCAGCAGGATTCTCCACAGATGAAACTTCTCCCTTCTTCACCTTATCCTGGAAGACTCCATTCCCCTCTTACAATATAACTTTAAAACAGAGCACCAGGACTCAACCCCTGTAAGACCCACTTAAGTCTTAGGAAACTCCCTTTAGACAGAAAAAGGCAGCAATTGCTTTTAGTGTTCGCCTGCAACAGGGAACAAAGCGGCCTCCACAGGTCACCAGCAGTGAGCTTCTGACACACAGCGGCACCTGTGGAGCTGGCGCCTGGAAAGTCTCCGGAGCACTGGGCTCCCGGGTGACAGCGTCACCTCCTCCTCACCCACCAGCATGCACCCATCCAGCACACCATCCTCGACGTTTCCGAGTTTTGCTTTTCAACATCTAATCTGATAGACGAATCTGTATTAGTACGTGCAGATGTTAGTGCTTCCCCTTTCCTGGTGCATTTTAACAGCCGAGCTCTGGAAAAAAACACCCTTCTTCAATCCAAGGAGTAACTCATGATGGGAATTTCAGGTCAAGCCGAAAAGGAGAGGAAGAACTGGATCATCAACAGTTTGACATGTTTTAGAGAGGCAGGCCTGCTCTGGGCTGACTTCAGAGGCCATGGAGGCACAGGGAGGAAACCCTGCTTTTATACTCATCTGTCCCATCCCTCCTCCCTCTCTCAGATCCCTTCCAGAAAAACTGGCCCCATGACTCCTCCTGCCCCTGCTGCATGTCTGCAGAGGGGCCGTGGAAGGAGAAGCCAGCACAAAGGACAGGGCGGGCGGGCAGGATCGTCAGTCTGCCCATGGGGACTCACTGCTTTTTCCTTCCTTAACCTGTTGGGAAGCCCTGCTGTCCGGCTGTTCAAAACTATTATGCTCCACCCTGAACTGGCTGCTTTCCAAGGTCTGAAAAAGTCACATGCTCTCCAAATCTCTAAACTGTACATAAAAAATCCATCTGATAAAAGTAGTCTTCAAAGAATGCTAACTTTTTTCTCGAATGTTTTGGGTGAAGTGTAGCTGAGACAGCAATGAATCAAAATAGTGAACAACATGCCATAAATATATACCCCCCCTCAGAGCCATTCATCCAGGAGTGGCGTGAATCTCCATTAATCATTCTGTTTCTCAGCTTGCCCCTGTGACTAGTGGCCCACATCTGATGCTCAGCGGCCAGGGATATGAATACTTGATGTAGACACAGGACAGAACAAACCCAAGAAACTCTCAGAACTCATGACCTCGGCTGACTCACTGATGAGCCACCTAGATAAAGGCATCTATCACCCAGAAAATGCTTGCCTTTCTTTTCTTGAGCACTACTTTTGGAGGCAGCCCACTTCAGACAGCCAGCTTACCCCAAGGAGCACCTTTTTTGGGGGGCCTGGGGAGAAGTGGTGGTGGAGATACCAAGACTGAAGACATGAAGTCAAGTCTGATAAAACAGGGCCAATTTAGAAAATGTTTTAATGTTCTAGCTTAATCTTCAGTTCAGTTCAGTCGCTCTGTCGTGTCCGACTCTTTGCGACCCCATGAATCGCAGCACGCCAGGCCTCCCTGTCCATCACAAACTCCTGGAGTTTACTCAAACTCATGCCCATCAAGTTGGTGATGCCATCCAGCCATCTCATCCTCTGTCGTCCCTTTCTCCTCCTGCCCCCAATCCCTCCCAGCATCAGGGTCTTTTCCAATGAGTCAACTATTCGCATCAGGTGGCCAAAGTATTGGAGTTTCAGCTTCAGCATCAGTCCTTCCAATGAACACCCAGGACTGATCTCCTTCAGGATAGACTAGTTAGATCTCCTTGCAGTCCAAGGGACTCTCAAGAGTCTTCTCCAACACCACAGTTCAAAAGCATCAATTTTTCGGTGCTCAGCTTTCTTCACAGTCCAACTCTCACATCCACACGTGACCACTGGAAAAACCATAGCCTTGACCAGACGGACCTTTGTTGGCAAAGTAATGTCTCTGCTTAAACTTAAGTCATATGTTTAAGAAATACATAGGTTTGGCTCCAGTTAAAACTGGCTGGTTCATCATGAATTTGTATATATGTAAGTAGACACATATTTTAATAGCTAGATTTCACTTAGCCTAAAATTCAGCAAATGGTGTGGTCCATTCTGATTTCTAATTCAGTTAAAATCAGTTCAAAGTCTGGAGAGAGGTTAAATCTTTAGATAAGATCCACTAGTAAGTACTAGATGAAAAGCCAAATGTTTGTGTGCATATACACAAATTACTTCACTCTTATCCAGTCTGCTCTACATGCTAAGGTGTGTACAGCTGGCTAGAAGGAGAGCTCCTCACTCCCAGCCCAGGCTCTAAGAATACTTGTGGGATGGTAATCCTCAACAGATGCTTTCCTTTCTTAAACTCGGGTCATAAAAAGCTAGCTGGAGGCAGGAGATGCTGAGGGGAGAATAAGACTACACTCTGAATGAAGCAGCACAGAGAATGGAACATGAAGAAGGGAGAGAGCCATCATCACACAAAACAGCCAGCTACAAAGGTCTACTTTTAGAAAGCTTGATTAGTGACGGAGGTCTTAGAAATTGATGCCACCTGGACCTTTTGCACTCCCCTTTGTGGGGGCTCATTTCTCTATATTGGCTTTGTAAATGAAAGTACCTACCCCCGAAAATCACCAACACATGTAAGGTTTTTATGCTGTTTCACAAAAGTATCAAGGTAGAAAAGCAAGCAATTCAGTGTTTTCATTCTCACATCTAATGCAAAGCAAACAGCAGCTATTTCTATTCATAGAGAACAGTGTGAATTTGGAAGGAAATTATCATCAATTACCTGCCCAACATGGTATCCGGATGAGCAGTGAAAATTTGTGGGTTGACAACAAAACGTGTGCCGTCTACAAGAAGTGTCACTTTCTCTGGCGCCTGAGAGTGAACGTTACAGCCAAAGCCCACAGCGCTATTTCCAAATCGCTCTGGAGCAATGAAGGGTTCATGATTCCGTTTATTCCCACTTTGGAAGCAAGAGCCTTTGACATCTTCGGGAAGTGACATCATGTGAGGGAACGGAAGATTTGCTGGCTGAGAGGCAGAGTCAAGTGGAAGGTCTGAAAGATCACAGGATACAAACAAACCAAAATAACTTGACAGCCAGCAAAAAGCCTTGGGAGAAAAATAAACCTTGTTCCTTTTAAAACAACAAGAACAAAAAACATTAAACAAAAAAAATCCCCAAACTTTAGGTATCCAAACACAAAAACTCTTGTCTAGAGCACATAAACAAACTAGAGACTCATACTGGATGCCCATGAGCTTCTTCTTCTGTGTTGTGTGTGTTTCTGTGTGCTGGGGAGAGGGCAATGAAGGCAGTAATGCCTACCCTCTAAAAATGTAACTATTAGGGAATTCCCTGGAGGTCCAGTGGTTAGGACTCGCTGCTTCCACTGCTGGGGGCCCCAAGTTTGATCCCCGGTTGGGGAAGGAAGATCTTGCAAGCCACGAGGCATGGCTAAAAAATAAAATCATTGAACACTGGAGAAGAATTTCTGTGGGAAGCAAGCAATCCTCTGCCATATTTTTAAACCTCAGCTAGTCTTGTTTCAGAGGCACTTTATTTTCATTTTCACTTCTATCTCTAAATACCACCCATATTTACTGCATTTTATTTAAGAAACTTGATAACTTCATTAGCCAACACTATTAGTTTCCCACATTCTTAAAAAACATTTCTAAGTTTTATTTTCCAAAAAGGATAGTGATAGTCTCTAATTGCCCCACTTTTCCTAGAAATTCATTGAAAAATGCATTTTCATTATGCATAGGGGAATCCTAACATTACCAACACCATTTTATGAACAGACAGATCTTGCTCTCAATGGAAAAGTTCCAATGCAAATGGTCTTGGATTAGAATTCATTCATGGAATCAAAGTTTTTGTTCTCGTGTCACCAAAGAGCCATTTCCTTAAAGAATTTGACTTTTCTAAACCTGATTCATTATCTGTAAAGTGGAAATAACGTTCACTCCATCTACCTCAGAGGATTGGTTTGACTATCAACTGAAATGAAGTATGCAACAGCACTTAAAAATGTATAATACCACATCATGCAAATAGGCTGAAAACTAGATATCTGAAATCTGGCTGTATACAGAAGACGATAAGGAGAAAATATTTTTCTTTTTTTTTTTTTTTTGAGAAAATATTTTCAAAAGGATTACCAGAAGATTCTTTTAAAAAATTTTTTGGCGACACCATGCAGCATTTGAGATCTTAGTTTTCTGACCAGGTATTGAACCCACAGTCCCTGCAGTGGGGGTGTGGAGTTTTAACCACTGGATGGCTGGGGAAGTCCCAGAAAATTCTTTTAAATAGGGAGCTCTCCTAGTATATTTTATGTTAATGAAAAATGTGTTTTTTTAATGAAAAATTTCAAATATATCAAAGCCTAGAGTTAATACAGTATGTATACATCACTTGGATTTGGCTAGTTAACATTTTCCTAAATTTTCTTCAACCTTTTTTAGAAAGAAATGTTATGTTATAGGTAGAATTTAATGTCTCACTCCCACTTCATGTCTTGTAAATTTGTTTACAATAATTCATGAACAGAATTACTGCCCATGACCTCTGAGAAATTAGTTTTATTTCAGGCATTGAAGATAACCAAATAAACTGTTAGCTAGAGTATACTTGATTTTTCCCCATTTGCTTCTAGAGAAAAGGAAACCAAAATTTAGACCAAAAACCTGTTTAAGGTTCACATCCTATAGCCTCTGGTAAATTTTCAATGTGGCCCTCTGGATACCAAGAGCTAAGTTTCTACACAATCCTTGGGCAAGCCTGTAGCAAGAAAAACTTTAATCACCAAGACAGGCTTTCAACACTGTAAGTACTGTTTTTAAAAATGAAACTAGGTACCTAATTTAACTCAGTTCTGCAGAACACTGATTTTCCCCCAGCAAAGAGGCAATTGAATTGGACTGATTCCTGAAGGATGCCTCAGGTTCCGTCCTACTTAAATGGGTGAGCAGGAGGAGATTCGCTGCATAAATTCTCTGTAACGGGCACTCTAGGGTGGCAGGTACACTCTGCTTTTCTGTCAGCAAGGGCTGGCCAGAAAGACAGGTTTAACTCCCAGTCCCCCCACCTTTTAGCAGTGTGAACCTGAGCAAGTTACTAATAACCTCTGAAGCCTCAGCTTCCCCATCTGTAAAAAGATTAATCTAAGCAGGGATCAGCAAACTTTCTGTGAAGAGCTAAAAAGTAATTATGTTTGGCTTTGTGGGTCAGACTCTGCCACAAGCAGAAAAGTAGCCATAGATAGCATGTAAACAAATGGGCATGATGGCTGTGTTTCAAATTTTATTTATAAAAATAGGCAGTGGTTCAGAGTTGATCAGTTTGCCACCCTTGATCTAAAAAAAATAAACTTTTAGCACAGTGAGTGCTCAATAAATGGTAACTGCTATTATTATTGTTGCTACTGTTTTTATTAAAAGTTAAAAAGAACCTAACAATTTATCAAGAGCCTTGACATCTATTAACTCACTAGTCTTCTAGTTTTGCGAGGTAAGGAGAATATAAACATCCTTGTTGTCTAGATTAAGAAAGCAGGGCTCAGAAAGAGTAAGGCACTCATTCATGGTTACAGCTAGAATGTGAGTCTCCAAACCCGTAACTGTTTTTCTTATACTATTATCACCAAGTTAGATGTACTAAACTGATTAAGTAAATGGAGATTTTAAAGCAACTATATTCCAATTTAAAAAAGCACTTCTCTGGCTGTCCAGGGGTTATGACTCTGTGCTTCCAATCCAGGGGACACAGGTTCCATCCCTGGTTAGGGAACTAAGATTCCGTGTGCCACATGGCACAGCCAAATAAATAAAATTTTTTTTTAAAGTGGAGATTTTTTTGGTAATAGCTTTATATAATTGTGATATGTAAGCTAAGCCAATTGACTGGATATATTATTTAGAGTAAGAACATTTATGCCTTCTGGGAGAATAGGTGCTCAGGTGTCAGAAAGCCCACCAGACGAACTCAGAAGCTAATCATTATACCATCATTCCTGGGACCTAGAGGATAAGTAAGATTTTGAAGACCAGAGGAAGCTGGACTATTTGCTTCTTTTTCTTGAGCTGCAGCTGAAGCTTCATCCATCAGGCAGCTGGCCTCCTGCCGCAATAACCTGTCGTTCTCAGTGCCGCGGTGAATATTCATCCTTGGATTGTGTATCCCGAACTGTTTGCTTGATCAAAGAGAAATCCTGGAAGATAGGAATATGCATGATTTAGAACTAGAGAACTCTCAGTTCTTATTCTTGTTTTGAGAAGAAATGACATCTTAAACATTTCTGACATCTTAAACATTATACTGAGAGGAACTGGGCTGACTTAAGTTATCTTTACCAAATCACTAAGAATACTGATAAACTTGTTACTAGGGAATAATTTTCTGCATATTAACTGGTGGCAAAATAACTTGGTGGTGTTTATACCACAGATTCACATAAGGGACAGAGTTCAATTTGTTAATTAAAGAAAACTAGCCCATATGTCTCAAAAACTTGAGACATACAGTCCCGCAACAGTTAAGCACTAGGAAATGAGAATCACAACTACAATGCTAGTATGACAGTTGAAATCGGAAGTCATGGGCACTAAAAATAATTTTTTTGAAATAACAAATTTACGTATGGTGCTCAAGTTCTTCTTTATAAGTTCTCTCTTTCACTTTCTGTACCTTATGCTTGACCCCATCTCAAAATTACACCAAGATGTCACTGGTTATAAGATAACTCTCCCAAGCAGTGCACAACCATCATGAACACCACCTCCTGAGGGAATGCTGTGTGCCACGCATTCGCTGCTTAGGCAGAATGGCTGCCTCACATCTCTCTTCTAGGTAATCACCCTGCCCTGCAGCCTTTCCATTCTCTGGGGCTGCCCAACTGCTGAAAACATTCCTGAAATTCACCCTACTTAGCACTGTCACAGTTTATACTATACTAGGTTCCACCAGGTATTCTAGTAGAAGAAACATATTACTAGCAATTTTTATGCATATGGATTGCATGAAAACAATACAGGAGGAAGAAGTTATGTTTTAGGAAGAAGTTTTGTCACTAAGATCAGGAACATGTTTTAATAATACTCTGAATTTCCTGACATGCAAGCATGTAGAGGTGCCAATTAACACTTAAAATGTGCATTCAATTTTGAATAACTTCATAATCTATATTAGTACATTTTTGAGCAAAAAGTTGATCATTTAGTCCTGTTTTAACTTGCACGAAATATCAATATAATAATGAGCCCTTTTTAAAAAAGGAGCCAATACAGATGCCTGAAAGTAAATAATTTTAAAGAGACACTTTCACAGTTTATGAAATCTTAAAATTCTCAGACAAAAGCTCTTACAACGTAAGGCACACTGAGGAGATAAAGTGAACGTTCTGTTGGAAAACCTGACATATGGCTACAGCTTTTTCCAGATTACCCTTTCTTAAAGAAAAATGTATTTGTGTATTTACACAAAAAATGTGGCCCCTTAAAATTGATCCTTAGCAACTGGTAAGGTCAAATAGAATCACCACTGCCTTCAAGTTTGACTCAGAAGATGTCAAAATGAAAATCAAATCTAGAGAATAGGATAAAGAAGATCCATGAAAGTGGAAAAAGCATTCGTAATGCCGGAAGGACCAAAAGGCAGTCTGCTTGTCAGCTTAACTGGTTTTGAACCATGTTCCACTCTGTCTACTTGCGCTCCTTAACTCTTCATTAGTTGCTCCAGAACCAAGTTCAAACTTCTTTCTGTTGCTCTCCAAAATATCTCTTGGAACAGAACAACTTTGAATAAGCTCATTTCTTGAGAATTTGCACAGACTAGACCATTACTTAAGTTACTTCATTTATTCCTTACAATGTGTGAAAAAGTTTCATTATAATAGACTATAATGAAAATATTTTCTTCCCAGTCTGTAAATACCAGGGCTCAAAATTCAGTTTAACTTACAACAATGAATTAATAAACAGAAAGACATGCTTGAAAATTATCAGGGGCAGATATCTCCAATGAGGAAAAAGAAAGTAACCTGCTAAGCACTCAACAAGCATTTTATTTGTATTTCAGTTCAGTTCAGTTGTGTCCGACTCTTTGTGACCCCATGAACTGCAGCACGCCAGGCCTCCCTGTCCATTACCAACTCCCGGAATCTACCCAAACCCATGTTCATTGAGTCGGTGATGCCATCCAACCATCTCATCCTCTGCTGTCCCCTTCTCCTCCTGCTCTCAATCTTTCCCAGCATCAGGGTCTTTTCAAATGAGTCAGCTCTTCGCATGAGGTGGCCAAAGTATTGGAGTTTCAGGTTTAACATCAGTCCCTCCAAAGAAAACCCAGGACTGATCTCCTTTAGGATGGACTGGTTGGGTCTCCTTGCAGTCCAAGGGACTCTCAAGAGTCTTATCCAACACCACAGTTCAAAAGCATTAATTCTTCTGCGCTCAGCTTTCTTTATAGTCCAACTCTCACATCCATACATGACCACTGGAAAAACCAAAGCCTTGACTAGATGGACCTTTGTTGGCAAAGTAATGTCTCTGGTTTTTAGTATGCGGTCTAGGTTGGTCATAACTTTCCTTCCAAGGAGTAAGCATCTTTAGTTAATTTTTATTATAAATAAAACATGAAAATTTTCCCTCTTAAAAAATTCAAGCCTTATACATGTATACTATAAAAGCATATCATTTGTAAAAAACATACAAACTATACATTCTCACTCTGTAATATGCTTTTTGAAATTAACATTCTAAAAATCCATCCATGTTAGAAGACACATCTATCTAGTTTACTCTTTTTAACTGTTGTGTAATATCCTATGATTCTGCTCTCCTATCTATGAATTAAGTTGTTTCTAACCATTACAATGTTTCAATAAATAGGATCAGAGTGTACCATGGAATTCCAAGAGAGGACCTAATTTGCAGCTTCCCCAAAAGAATTTGGCCTAGAAACATTTTTTCCCCCAAGAAACCATCTCAGGATTAATGGTAAATGGTATGTACTTAAAGAAACCACCATCATTTCTCAAAGTCCCTTATAAACTAATTCTTCTATAATCCTAGAATGACAGAAGAAAACTGTTGATCTATGAAACCTAAGAAGCAAACAGACAGACACTGAATTCTTCAACAAATAATGGGGCAATGAGTTTCAACATTATGGTAAGGGTTTGCTCCCCTTCCAGGATGGATGTTTCATTCAACTTTGAATGTATATTTTTATTGCCTACCATGGCTCATTTCTGTAACCATCCCCCAAATGCATCTTGGTCCTCAGAACAGATCTAAGAAAAAAAGAAAAGAAAGAAAGACATAAGCAAAGCACTTGAACAATATAGTTCTCCATTGCTACAAAACTATTTGTGGCCAACACAGATCTAAAAGTCATAGCACTACAAAGACAAGAACGAAAGGATCAGGACACACCCCTGGCACACCTAACAGAAACTGAGGAGACGGCTTCAGAAAAGAACTAGGAATCAGAGATACATAAGTAATGGAACTCTGCCTGTATACCTATGAAACAAAACCAACATCCAGCAAGCCAGCTCAAGCATCACTTCCACACAGTATGTGAAAGCATTTTTTAAACACTCTAAAGAGCTACACAAATATATATATTTTATTATTTATCTATTTCATAGGTCTCCTGTGAAGGCCCCTATTTTGTTAAGTGTTGCTCTAGCTGACCCGGAACAGCAAAACCTTTATTATAATCTCCCCACCTTGGAAAATTTGCGTACAATCTTTGATAGTCGAATTTTCTCCATATAGTCTTTGCACATAAAAAAATGACATGTTGGTTTCTCCCTAGAACAAAGTCATCTCAAGTATTAATCCATAATAAAGTATGTATTTTCTTCTTTTTACTTGCAATTCCCTCTAATCATTTATGAAGAAAACAAGATTATGGAAACGTGATTTGTGTAACTGAGTTCAGATCTTGCAACTGAACTATTCAGATTTTGAATATGTAGTTGCAATGCCTATGGGGCCAAATTTCACATGGATGTATCTCAAAAGCATAATGCTTTCAGACTGCTAATGATACAAGGGTATGATCTTTTACAAAGTAGGATCCTTTTATACTTCAGGATCATGCCTCCTCTCTGTGTAAAAGCTGGATAGTAAAGATGAGGCAAGATGCCACAGAATTTGGTAAATGAACCAATCCACCCTTCATCTATACTCCACACTTAAATTCAGAAAGTAATTATATCTTTGTCAAACCTTCATTCCAGACTGACAAATCCTAGTACTTTCAGTCTGCTCTTATGTGAAAACCACTACATTTGTTTAACTATGTTAACTGCTTATCACTGACTTTGTTCTAGTTCCATTATGCTTTTTTCTTACTTCACAGTAAGGAGAACTCTGCTAATGTGTTCTATTAAAGGGGAATAGGTTTTCCAGTCTTGCTTCACATATGCTTTCTGGTGATGATACCCAGGATCTCTGGGAATAGGTTAAAAAGGGGTGAAGGTGAGAGGAGAGACAACAGAAGTGATAGAGAACGATCTAAAATATCCACATGATCTCCTTCTAGGATGTTACTGATGGCTAAGAGCCTGCCATCTTCAAGATGGACTCTGGGTAGATATATGTTTAACCCAACTCCACTGAAGATTTTCTTTTCACTTCCTCTGCATGTGTACTCTTAATGTTCAAATCTCAGAAGAAATTCTGTTTTCTGGCTTTTCTTTTTCTAGATTACTACTAAAAATATTGAGACCACTCCAGTATTAATAAGCCCATATAAAATCTATCCGTATGATTTCTAAATCCTATAGTTTCCCTACAGTATGTTCCCAAACCCATAAAAGTTTAACAAAGAAAAGAGACCTTTGTTGCTAAGTTATTTCCACTGGGTTTTCCCTTCCCTCATACTTGCTGTCTTCATCAAAGAAGCCTAGCAGACTGCTGAGATGAACACTTCTTAGAGACCTCTTGCTACACTGCTCCCCAAATATGATTTTCTCTCATGGCTCCGCTTCTTACAGCTGTTGCCCTGGGCAGGCTTCTAGGTCTATGTCTCAATTTCCTCACTTGTAGGAGAGGATGATAACCATTAACCACACAGGGCTGATACAAGGCATGAAATGAGGCAATTTCTTACAGTGCTTAGTACAATGCATGGCACATAGTACTCAATAAAGT